GATGAAGCTTGTGGAAAGCTCCATTTCCTGACAGTCAGTGAAAAGTAGTCATCATTTGGATGGCAGGGTGCCTTCCAGGTAGTTTGCGAGTCACGAAGACACAGCGAAAGTCAATATGACAGCGTTTACTGGCAGGAGGAATCTAACAGACCTGCGTATGAGAGGGGGGGATAGTCCCTGCCATAGTCTGATGTTAGTCAACCAGTCGTCTGAATGAGTACTGGATCAACTTACTCATTCCCGTGTTTTCGAAACCCCTACATATTGCTTATCCATCAGCCCGCTGCCATTTTTCTTGGTTGCTGCATCCACAAATGACAGAACTTCCCCATTTTTATTTACTGACGCATTCTCAACCCGGTTGCGCAATTACGCTGGCTCAAAACAGGTCAGCCGAAAGTACCATTCAGCCAACTATGCTTTGACGGTATTTTTCCTCATAACTTTGCCTTGCCAACAGCACTCTCAGTTGACGGCAAATTACTGTGCTTTTATTTACTGAAAATCATGTGTCGTTGTGGATGACACGCGCTGACGTAATTTTTTGACTAACTGGAAATGCGGTGTTAGAAAATGGAGTCGGATGTGGTTACGTGGCCTCATCTGAAGTACACAAATCCCAGTCACCTCTAATACGGAACCGGTGGTAATAGCGGTATCTACAGGTGGAGTCGGGGAACGCACAGGCGGCGAGATCAAGCAGCTGTATGCAAAAGAAAAGCTATCGGGAATGCGCGGTTGTACATTGAGTGGTTTATAAATAGTTGCGCTAACACCTAACCATTACCGTAACCCATAACTATAACCCCTTATGCAAAACCCTAACTCCTAACCATAACCCCTTAGCCTAAGCCTTTATCCCAAACCAAACAGCATTGCGTACATCAGGTGAGGCTGCCAAACCTCATCTTGCCGAAAATGGACTAAAGCGAATATAGATAGGATTCTGAGCATGGTGTCATATAAAAACGGTTCCACCGCTCCCAACAGCGAAATTCATCTAGACCTCCCTTCCCTGGAGTTTAAGCACTTTAAAAATTCTTAGTCGTTTGGGGCTGTTGACTTCTACATGTTTTCGGGGAACTACAGCAATAAAATATCACGGGAGTAAAATGCTAATGTTATTTCATGTTTGCCAAGACATGAGATCGGTTATTTTAACGTCTCGCACGAAAGCCGTTTTAAACCCATAGAATCAAAAGAGAAAATTGGCCTCCATACTGACTAGAATATTCATGTCAGGTTGGTTTGCATCGAAGTAGGGAGAGCAAGTCTGCTCCTGAAACTGTTTCGATTAAGACATCCTTTAGGCTGCAATAACCAGTCCTGAAACGAGACTTCGTGTAACGATAGGGTGTAGGTCCCACAAGAAGGTGGCAACTACAAAAATGCACCCCAAAATTCAGTGTAACTGTAAAAAGCACTTATTATTCACCGTTCCCATTGTTTGAAATTTCCTTCTCTTCCTGACTAAATGTAAACTTACCAGCGACGCTTTATTCAAAGCTCATTATTTTTTGAAAATTGTTTTTTATTTATTTTCTAATTATCGCACTCACTTTGCCAAATGACAGCGTACGACAAGACTCTCAGTAGAAATGTATTTATTTTTCGTGTCTTCTTGCACCCCGTCCCGAGTGTTGCCCTAACCGTGAAACTCCCTCTACCATCATTCAACGTATGACATGGTCCACGAGCTAGTTCAAATTAGTTGTCGGTCCTACACCCTATCGTTGCCAGACTTTGTAGCGGCAAGCTGAAAACAGTTCCAACGGTGGAAAATTTGGCCTATAGGTAGGTTCAATACAAATGTCCCGAAATGAAGGTTGACGGGTAGGATGGAGACGACCATTTCAGCTAGCCTAGGGACTGTCTGTTTTGCCTCCCGATTACGTCAGTAGTTAGAAGGAACAACAATTACGCGTTGTGGCGTAACGGTGTACTTGACGTGGCAACAGAAACCGAAGAACCCGCGGTTGCCAAGTGGCTGCTTTAGCACCAATTAGTTCTCTCTCGGTACCGCTGCACAGATCGATATTTGCCCCTCCAATGATTGGTCACGACAGGTCGTGACTCAGGTGGGCGCTCGCGCCTCGCGCCGGCTAGCTTTTGACGCATTTGATTTTCGTATACTCTCTTGACCAGAATGAAGTCTGCCTTACCATTTCTGCCGCCCTGGTTTATGATTTGATAAACATCTCGTTACTGACCCACAAAACTTCGCATATTGGACCAAAGTGAGGTTGGGAGTTTTGTCGATCGTAACTGAACAGCAAGGAAGGTTCCCAGTCGAAGATCGACCTGTCATGGTGGGTGTGAATTGCCTCGAGGCAATGCTGAGCGCATGTGAGTACGGCGATTATGCAGATTTAAGTCCTGATTTCAAGTAGTTTGGTGCATGACGTAATTTATCACTCCTTATGTCACTATCGATCAAATGAGGGTTAAAAGGACAGTTACCAGGTCTTCGTTACCTTGTAACCGCACGAACACATAAATTAGGCTTGTGGTAACAGCACGTGCTGCTGCAGCTTACGGTCAAACAGTCTGTGCACCTGCGGATGCGTCATAAATATTCTTCAGCTTGCACCTATTGCACGAATTCTGGAAAAAATTCAAACAGCGCATGCCAGGGCTGAAAGGAAGAGCAGTTGCATGAGAACAGCAGGCATCTTGCGGGAGGGAATAGCTGAACAACACGTCTTCTGATTGCTCAAAAAACTAACCAGTGCCGATCGCTCATGAGCAATTCATAGAGGGGAGCAGTGAGAACGATATGCTTTTCACCTAATTGATGAAAGGATGAACTTTTTACAGTACAAAGTCGGTAATTGCCCTGTGCAGCCTTGTACTCCAACATCTATGTCTCTAAATTTCGTCATTTGTGAGCCATGAGATTGGAGGAATGATTTTCAAATGCAGTGAAATGGACGGCTCTCTGCTAAGCTCTAATCCACACTAAAACCAGCTGTTTGTGTCTGGTAAACGGACGACGCCCGCTCTGGCGGCTAAGACGATGAACCTACCATAACTAGAACAAGCCCGGAGCCAAATCCAGTTAGGGGCAAGAAACAGGGGATCTCAGAAGAAGGAGTTTAGTCTGTTAAGAGGGCCAAGCCGCCATCGTGTAAATCCCGATGCGTAGGCTACCCGCTAACAGCGTGTGCAAGCTTGTCAGAATCGGGTGTGAGTGACAATATCATGAGAGCATCTTTCAGTATCTTCGATGCGCAATCGGTAAATCGATTGGCTGAGATCTGTGATTGGTTGGACTTGTCGATGCGACCTTTATTTGCTGAATTAAGCGCATTACTCATTTCGTGCCATAGGGTGGATGCCAGAGCTAGTTGACAGTTCGGACGTCGATTCCGACGATGTCCATCGTGTGCTAAACAGCCAGGTGCAGCAGGCACGGCGACTTGCGCATGTGTGTTAGTTTGCAGTAAGGGCAGACTTGCGCGGCATCTACCGCACTCTCTCTTCCCCACACCCAAGGGCCGACACCAGCCCTCGGTCAGCATTGTTGCGCCGTGTTGCTCTCAGCATTTTCTTGACTCAGCAAAAGACTTAAATAAAGTTATCGGCGGTTCCGCGTTCAGAGGCCATGGGGTGGGCGGTCATAGGCACTGATTCATGTAACTCCAAATACAGTCTTTCGTCGTGGTTGGAAAGTTGGGATGCGGTCTCCACAAAATCGGCCTATAACGTGTTCCTGCTCGTTTTGAATACTTTTTTTCATAGATTTCACACAACTAGCTTATTGGGTAAGATGCGGTTATGCAGCCCCACCTAATGGACACAATACCGTTGGGATTGGTGTTAGGGGTTATGGTTGGGGTTAGGGGTTAGCGCAACTATTTCTCAACCACTCAAAGTACAACCGCGCATTCCCAAAAGTTTTCCTTTAGCATAAAACTACTTGGCCTCATCGCCTGTGCGTTCGCCGGCCCCACCTGTAAAAAGTCCTACTACCACCGGTCCCAAATTACAGGTGTCTGGGATTTGCTTACTTCAGGTGAGGCTACATAACCACATCTGGTCGTTCTTTCGTAATTCGTGGAATGGAAGGCCTTACTTCTATTCGCATGTTGGATTCCTATTGAAGGACACAGGGCGCCTGACGGGCCAGTCGTCTTCATGACATCGACAATTCGTGCTTGACAAGACAAACAGCATCTGTACCTAGTAAGATGATAGTCTAATCACCAAGTTTTAAGCAGATTACATGGGCTCCCTCCTTTTCGTCCTCACATTGGCCATTTCTGGGTTGGTTATCGGTTCCTTGAGGGTAGCTGGCTTGACTAGCACTACGCCGGGGCCCCCTGACAACACCCGTAAGTACGCATGAGTGTTCGACTGTTGGTTCCAACAATGTCTAACGTGTGCTACATATCAGGGTAAGAGCGGGAACGGTGACTTGCGTGTAGATTAGTTTGTAGTGATTGTGGACTTGGGGCTCTACCACACCCTTCCTCCGTCCCCAGCTGTGCCCGGTGTTAAGACAGAGCCAAGAAGACCGGAAGTTAGAGAGTACTCAGATGGTCGGCACGACATAGACTTACAAATAGGCATGCAACCACGCTCCCCGATAAGAGAAGGGGGGTGGGTTAGGGGAAGGGCCCAGACTCCACTGAACGTCATAGTGGCCACACTGAAAAGGAGCCATTGCAGCCTGACTCTGAGTCCACTCTACACAAACTCATACTGAGCTGCCTACGAGGTTTAGGTTATCGCCACAGTTGGTAACCCTTCAAGCCACGACTTTGAGCGTACCATGATAGTCTCAAGTAAGTCAGGTTGTTTTTGCTGAATGTTAATGAGCCCATACGCTTGTTTTCCCTATTACCGAAAATCTTAACGGAGGGTGTCGAAGAACGACGGTCGACAGCGTGAAGTTCCTCTATTTTAAAGGTACTGGCGGCTGCAAGAGAGCGTTTGAGCGACTCAGGAGACAGTAACTGTAACCGCTACACAAAGCCGAGTACCAGCCGTTGATGTCGTCAGTTTCTGCCTGAGGTGAGCTTGAAAGGACCTTTGGGACCAGAAAGCATGTTGGTGAGCGGCAGCATGAGGTCAGCACAGTTCGGGAGGGACCAACGGTAAAAGTTGACCATGCCGAGGAATTGCTGCAACTGACGCTTGGAAGTGGGTGGAGGGAAATTACGAACTGCTTCAACCTTGGAGGGGAGGAGACGCAAACCTTCAGAGTCGACCTGATGGTCGAGGAACTCGAGCGAAGGCACACCGAACACGCACTTGGAGGGATTGATTACAACGCCAAACTTGTCAAGGCGGTCAAACACCAAGGCAAGATGATCTTTGTGTTCTTCCTCATTCCGGCTGGCCACCAAGAGGTCATCAATGCAGGCGTACACAAAGGGTAGGCCACGCAAGACATGATCGATGAACCTCTGGAACGTTTGGGCAGCATTACGAAGACCGAACGACATGCGGATGAATTCGAAGAGACCGAAGGGTGTGGCGACGGCGGTTTTAGGAATATCCTCAGAGGCAAACGGAATCTGATGAAAAGCACGCACTAGATCAATCTTCGAGAAACCCGTTTTGCCGAAAAGGGCTCCAGCAAAGTCCTGAAGATGGGGTACGGGTACCGATCAGGAATGGTGGCGCTTTTGAGGGCACGATAGTCGCCACAGTCACCGGATGCCGCCTTGGGCACCACATGCAGTGGGGACGCCCAAGGTCTGTCGGACGATCGAATTATTCCCAGTTGCAGCACGTGTTCAAACTCCGCCTTCGCGGCCTGGAAACGCTCCGGTGCTAGTTCGCTCGGCCGAGCAAACACTGGAGGACCTGATGTGCGGATATGGTGCACAACATCATCTTAGACTGTGCCGAGGCACCAGACTATCTTGTGTTTACCTACCTGCTCATCGTTCTTGAACTTACTGTTTGTTTAACTAAATGTTGCCTTAACGAGTATATCTTATACACATTTTGTCTTGTACTGATCGCAATCCTTCGCTCTTCGCTTCAGACCATCTGCTCTGAGAGCATGAACTAAGCTTTGAACATAACGGGGATCTCAGTCCCTCGAAGTCGTAACTATCTACCGGGCCCCGCAGGCTGAGCCCGACCCAGATACTTGTCTACTGAAAAGCATAAAAGAGATCGCCAGCCGACCAGACGTTGTTCTCATGGGGGATTTCAACGCACCCTGCATTCAATGGAGCGATATGCATGCGAAGTGCTCGATGAATACCTTCGATTGCCATCTACTAAAGACAACCCTAGAAGCTCTACTCACTCAACGTGTCCTGTTTCCAACAAGAGCTCGTGGAGGGCAACAGGCCAGTTGTCTGGACCTCGTTTTTACCAAAGATCCTGACAGTATAGACGAGGTGTACTACCTACCCCCGCTCGGTCGAAGTGATCATGTAGTGCTTTTATGGGAGTTCTTGCTGTATTCTGAACCGTGTACAAAAGACAATACGAGGCCAAATATATGGGAAGGGGACTTTCGCCAAATGAGAGCTGAGGCATCACAAATAGACTGGCATGTTCTCTTCTCCGGAAACGTTAACGAGGACTGGAATTTATTCAAGGATCGTTTACTGCATCTAATGAAGAACCACTGTCCCTTATCAAAGCCTAGGACACCCAACCGCCCTCAGTGGCTAACACGAGAACTCAAAAGGGAGATCAACAAGAAAGGAAGGTTATGGAAGAAATTTTGCAAGAAAAACAACAATGCAGCGTTTACAGAATACAAAGTTCAAAGAAATAAGGTGAAAAGTCTGATTTTCAGGAGGCGACGAGATTTTGAGAGTAATTTGCTCCACCGAGCCGCTAAAAATCCGAAATTGCTCTACAGCTATTTGCGGAAAAGCACACGTAACAGGAATCCCATTCCTGTTATGAGGGGTGATGACGGCTTGGAGATCTCGGACAGTACAAATAAGGCTGAGCACTTTTCTCAATTTTTCCGATCCGTTTTCACAAGAGAAGCAGACTTTACCCCTTCTAATTCTGAGAAGATGGGAGATCCTACTATCGAAAATATTGTGTTTCGAGAAGAAGCGATTTTGGAAGAACAAAAAGGTTAAAGGAATGTAAATCTCCCGGTCCGGACGAGATTCCAGCAAAACTGCTCTTTGAGCTTGCCCAAAAGCTGGCCAAGCCACTATCCTTTCTGTGTCGGAAATCGTTTGATGCTGGAATTCTTCCCACAGACTGGAAGACGGCCCACATTACACCCCTTTACAAAAGCGGTAGTCGTGCTCAGGCGACAAACTACAGACCCGTCAGTTTGACATCAATCTGCTGAAAAGTGGTGGAGAAAACCATCAAAAAGGAGTTGATGGCTTACTTGGAAACCCACAACCTCTTGTCCAATGCACAATAGGGTTTCCGTAGGGGAAGATCACGTGTTACGAACTTGCTATACACAATGCAAAGTTGGACACGAACACTGGACGCAAAACACACCGTGCATGTTGCCTATATTGATTTTCGGAGGGCGTTTGACAGTGTTCCGCACCAGCGTCTCCTACACAAGTTGAGAATTATGGGCATCGGTAGCAAACTTCTCAAATGGATCGAAAATTTCCTTGTCGGCCGATCCCAAATTGTCTGCCTAGAACAACAGCAATCAAGGTGCACATTCATAGAGAGTGGGGTGCCACAAGGCTCGGTGCTCGGACCAACCCTCTTTCTCTTGTTCATTAATGATTGTGTAGATGGGTTGGACTGTGTTTGCGCCATGTTTGCGGACGACATAAAAATCTGGAAAGTCATCCAGAATGCTGCCGATGAGACCACCTTCCAAGAAAATCTTTGTCGATTGGACGAGTGGTCCCGCAGATGGCTCTTGTCCTTCAATTTGAACAAATGCACCATTCTGCGCCTCGGAAATCAGACCCCTAGTACGCGGCAATACCATCTGAACGGAATGCCACTCCGAGAAGCAGAAACTTAAAAAGATCTCGGAGTTTGGGTTGCAGACAGCCTAAAGCCTTCTACACAATGCTGTAAGGCGGCCAAGGCCGCAACCTCAATGCTATATGCCATCAAGCGGGCATTCGTAGTTTTCGATGAAGACTGCTTCACCAAAGTCTTCGGCACGTTTATAAGGCCCCATCTCGAATATGCAATTCAGGCCTGGAGACCGTGGACGCATCAGGATTACGATCTTCTCGAAAGGGTGCAGAGACGAGCAACAAAATTAATAAGAGGTCAAAGTGCACTGCCATACGAGATCCGCTTAACTAACCTTAATCTCTATCCTCTGAGTTATAGGCAGTTGCGCGGAAACATGATACAAACTTTCCGTATCGTGCGCGGCTTGGATTGTGCCCTTCGGCGCGATGACTTTTTCCAACTCGCCACTACAACCCACCTCCGGGGACATCCCTTCAAGCTACGTGTGCCACAGGGTAGACTGAATGTGAGAAAATATTTCTTCTTCAACCGTGTCGTGGAACCGTGGAATAACCTGCCCGAGATGGTTGTTATGTCTCAATTTGTGGAGACGTTTAAATGTAGCCTTTACAGATATATGCTGCAGCAACAAGCGGACTATGTGACTTTTTAGCCATGTGATTAGTGACATATGTGAATCAATGTATGCATTCACTTAATGCTGTAATTTCTTCACATTTTTGCTTGTTTATCGATTTTTTATGTACAAATAGGGAGTTCAAAGGCGTAAGCCTATTTCCCTCAAATACACTGACTGACTGACTGACTGAATAGATGCGCTTTAAAATACGATAACTAGAATTTGTCGAGATTTCTACTCCGTGATTTGTCTGTTGCATAGATTTCTTGGACCATGGTGATTAATTTCCAGGGGCTTATTGATGTCCGTGATCTTCAGAAACAGTCTTTGTATACATTTTTATTACTTCTGTCGGTTTCAACTCTATCTTAACTTCGGAGGATAGTAAGTCTGCGTAGGTCACTCTGTCCTAAACTTCCAACCTAGACTCTCCTTACCCCTTAACTGCATTATCGAATTTTCAGTAGCATGTTGGGATGCGTTTCACATGTTCAGAACTAAAGCTGGCTGCCATTACCAATTTCAAAAGTCTAAATCCATCAACGATAAAGGAATTGAATTAAAATATTGGCTACTGAGACATTTATACATTTTTTCAACAATCCGCATATTAGTTCTTACTTCTATCAGAGAGACTGCCTTAGACGATAAAATTGATGAGATGGTGCATCCAATGTTGCATGCGCTAAGCGGGCATTAATTGGCATTTTTCTGCATCGATTTAGAGCCAAATGAAACAATCAGTCATGTTTGATGTTAGGAAAATGAAATATGTTTTTCTTACAAAATAAAATTCGAAAAAACGGTTTGTAAGCTCTCGGGTGCCTTAGATGAATCGGAGCATAAAATAATTGTGTATACAGACGTCACTTTTCCCGAAACAATTTCGGGCAAAAGGAGACGGCATATAACAACAACAACAACACCGGCATTCAAAAAGTTTTCGGCAAAAATTTTTGAATAGGACAAATTTAGGTTCTTTCACAAAAGTATGCTTGCGCTGCACACACGGAGGTGTTTCGCACCGGCCTGACAAAACTCCTCTGCAGTCCCGACGCTGATCTGCGATGCCTATATTGGCGAAATGGAGTTTACGCGTAGCGCTGCCACCGTCAGAGCAAACAAAATGACCTGTTAAGGGGGGGTGGGGGTAAGAAACAATTTTTTTAGCAAACGACGGTTTTGGTTTAATTGGGAAATCCGTAGGTATTTTGGCAGATCTGGTGGATTCTAGGTGAATTACTTAGGAAATCCAGCTTGGGCAGTCAACTTACTGTATCAGATTTGGTGGATTCCAGACGTCGCAGTAGGCCGGGTGGGTAAGTTGACCCAAATTTAATTAAACTCGCGTCGTCCGGCGGGGCCTCGTAGCTCAGATGGTGAGAGCATTGACTGTACTAAAGCCTGCTCCTTACTGCGTGGGTTCGAATCCAAACGAGGCGCCGAGTTTTTCACAGTTGGGTCAATATGAATAATTGGGAAATAATTCCTCCGGCATTAGTTGAAAATGAGGTTACACTGACTGAATAACACCCATCCTGGAGATGCTTTCTTGGCCTTTGTGGCTACAGCGACAGTTGACCACTTGCGTCGCGTGCGATCCAACCCTGCGGATTGGGGGCGCCGTGACGCGCAAATCGATATTTTATTGTTCATTGTTTGGCCACAGTCGGTCATGGGAGGGGGGGACGCATGCTCGCATCTCGAGCCGGGTAAGCCAACATTGACGGCCGACCTTCTGCTAACGCCGATCTCTGGGACGCTTGGACGCTCATATGCTACTTTAAAACTTGGCATACTGACTCTCGCACTCCCTGGCTTGCGTTTAGGGAAACACCTCGCAAGCGTATCGCACTTCAACAATTTTGGGCCGACTCGCCTTCACTTGAATCCTAACCCTATCTGTAACCTCTAAGCGTAATCCTGACTCTACTCCTAATCCCGAACCCAGCCCTAGTCTTTAATCAAACTCTAACCCTAATCGATGCCATTTGTTCAAACACAGCTCTAGTCAATAGTAGTGAAAATCCGATTCCCACGTGGCATATCAAAAGAAGAGGAGGCGTTCACCGGGAGGGGTGTATTTGAGATCCGACGTTTCGGGTAGTTTATTCTTCAGGGACTGGGAGGTCCTGTGCACAGCACTCCTTATTACGGCGCCCTTTGTCCAATGCGTGATCCGCCAATGCCGCCTGTGTGGCTGCATCCAACCCGCATGCCACCGTGACCTGAATCGCCCCCGTCGGCTGTGGTGATGACTGACGGCCCCGATTGTCCCGCGCCGTGACTGTCCCCCGCTAAGAAGTTTTGTAAAGTCAGATAGGGGGGAGGCAAATTGATGTGGCGGTCGACAGAGCGGTCGGTGGACATCCAGGCTTCTTGCACTTGCCTTGCTGTGTGATCGCTGCCCCGGCCCACAATCTCAACGGCGTCAAAATTGAATATGTGTCCTATTTGCGCGGCATGGGTTGCTACCTCCGACTTTGGGTCCAACCTTCGCACGGCCAACTTATGCTCGTGCATTCGCGTTTGCAGCCGTCGGCCGGTTTCTCCAACGTAGTTGTAGCTTCCGCAGCTGCCTTGAAGTCGGTAGACAACGGCCGACATCTCCTGCTTAGGGATCGGATCTTTCGGCCGCATCACTTGTCGGCGGATTGTTGAGTCAGGCCTGTGGGCAACACCTATTCCGAGTGGCGCGAGTGATCGGGCCACGACTTCGGAGACCCCTTTAATGTACGGAATGCTCCGCCACGAGTTTGGCTGACTATGCTCTTCGTTCCGTTTCTTTGGCTGCCTCCGGCTTCGTTCAGTGAATGCCCGCGGCTCTGAAAAGTTCTCGGAGGAGCTTTATCTCATCCAGTTTGGCGGCTGGTGTGCTGCAATGAGTTTTCACCCGTCGGTACAGCGTGCGGACACAGCTTCGTTTTTGTTGTGGCGGGTGGTTGCTGTTGTAGCTGAGAATTTGCAGCGTCTTCGTCGGTTTTCTGTAGACCGACATCGCTAGTTCGCCATTTGGTTGGCGGCAGACGAGAACATCCAAGAATGGAAGTTTATCCTCTACTTCCTCTTCCATCGTGAACTGTAGATCGGGCATGATTGAGTTCAGTACTTCCGCATAGTAGTTGATTTTATCCTGGTTTATGATTACGAAGGTGTCATCAACGTAGTGTGCCCAAAACTTGGGTTTGTACTCCTCGAATAGTCGTCTCTCGAGTTTTTGTAGAACCGCTTCGGCAATGAGTCCGGAGATTGGTGAACCCATTGGAGTGTCCTTGATCTGCTCGTATGTGGTCCCCTCGAAGGTAAAGAATGTCTTGAGGCAGTGCCCCATGAGTTCTATGGGATCCTGAGCTGTGGGCTGGCCATCGCCCCCGTCGTAATTTTGACGTAGCAGGTCACTGGGCGTTTCGACCGCAAGGGCCTGTTGTATGGACGTGAATAGTGAGACGACGTCAAAAGACACCATCCTTTCATTCGGTTAGGCGCGGGACACGGCGCGGGCCAATCGGGGCCGTCAGTCATCACCGCGGCCGACGGGGGCGAATCAGGTCACAGTGGCATGCGGGTTGGATGCAGCCACACAGGCGGCAGTGGCGGATCACGCATTTGACAAAGGGCGCCGTAATAAGGAGTGCTGTGCACAGGACCTCCCAGTCCCTGAAGATGGGCAGACGAATAAACTACCCGAAACGTCGGATCTCAAATACACCCCTCCCGGTGAACGCCTCCTCTTCTTTTGACAGCTCTCGTCACAATAACATATGCAAGTCCAAACGTGCATTAGGCGGGTGGGCAACTCTGCGACCATCATACCATTTTTACAGTGATTTGAGTCAAGTAGAATCGGTTTCTAGCAGCCTTCGCGCTTACCAAAGCACACAACTTCTTCGGTAGGATTAGGTTATCGTGATTTGTGATGACTACGTCTATTCCGAGGGTCCAGTGGTGGGGGGACTTCCACAGCATTTACAGAAGATTTGCTACCTCTCGGATGTTAACTGAAATTCTGAAATGTGTCTTCCATTCGGAAACACAACTTAAGTAGGGTCGCAAGAATGATTACTGTGCGGCATAATTCCAAGATATTTCAATCACGTCAGGACTCCGGCTTTTGGATGGGCTTCCTTTAGGCCGTCTGCAAAAACTACGTCCGGTAAAAATGGCTACTTAAGTAGTTTAACGTTCTTGTATTGGTTCTTGATATCCTTAAAGATTCAAACTTATTTTATGCTCTTTCTTTTATTCATTTTTTAGTTATTTACGTCAGTAAATTCTATACCAAACGATTTTGAAACCAACCCCGTCTTCACAATTGCATGGAAAATTTCTGTAGTAGAAGCTGCATACTTTCCGCATAAGGAAAATAATATACTTCTATATGCTGTTGAGAGGACGTCACACAAGGTCCGCAAAATGTTATGGTGGATATGGACCATGTCGTTTACCTTAAAAATTAACAGTTGTAAAGTTACTGATACTATGCTGTATGATTGGACATTTCGCGGCCCTAACTATCATATTTTTTACCGAAAATCATCCAAACAGATGATTTGCAGCTATATTTTCTAAACAGGCGTTTTTAAGAAGACTTTTAAGTGGTGGTCCTTTGGATATCTTCTAGGTTCCGAGGCTATAGGTCACTCAAAACGTGGGATGGTTCCTTCCAGTAGTCGGTGAATTCTTCGTCGGGGAAAAGAAGGATTATCCTCCAATTTATAGTTTTAGGTTAATCAGATGCCCTTAACTTAAGCCCGGTCAAAGACGCCTTCTGTTTGAAAACATGCAAATCAACGGGTCTTTGTAAAATCAATTTTCACAGAGTCGGCCTTTTACAAATTGCTGTAATATTTTTCGGAAACCCAGCTCTTTATCAATAAACTCCGCCCACTTCTGGTAGCTACAGATAAAGATCAATATATTTTTGACACTTTCGGAAATAAACAATAAAATATAACTATTAACGAATAATTAGGAAAAAATAAATGAAACGTGTTTCGGAAATGCTCACTCTTCCCCTAACCTTTTTGTCATCACGGACGTTACATGCCATAGGCTCGCAGAGTTCTTCTTCCTCTCTAGGAACGGTTCAGTTAATACGTGCTCTACTTGATAACTTCTGAATGGCTAGTTTAAGTAAGACCTACATTTCAATAAGCAGGACCCACAGCATAATCACAAACGCCTATATGCTCTTTACTGAATAGAGTGATTGAAACGCCCTCTAAAGTAGAGCAGCAGACCTCGATGCGCGTGCTTCAAGGGCAATCTTTGCCTAGACTAGAAAGTTAAAAGTGTGAGCAGCTCTGAAGCTCTGTACAGCTAGGTGCAGTAATAAGGGCGCAAATTGAAAACGTTTCTCTATCCATAGGTTTTGGCCCACAGATTAGTCAGAAGCGCTGGGGACAGCAGGCGGGGGGAGCTATCTCTTCCTAGCTGCCCTTGAGACCATCCCGATAGTCGTGGGAAAATAAGCAGGACAACATATAAAAGGCGGACGTGTGCTCATTTCTTGGGACGATACCTTTCCGCCACAATTTTATAACGCGCCGAAGTTCCTACTTGAGGCTGTTACCCGCTTGATACGGTTCACGTAATCACTTTAAGTTAGGGCGCGATCAGCGGGAGGGTAGGGCTGCAGGACTATCTACAGGGGCTGATCACACTGGTGGTTCGACCTGATTGGTTCGGAATCTGACCAATCGCCGTCCAGGCGATCTGGGTAGCAGTTAACTCGTCTAGGAAGTGGGTCGAGGCATACAGGTCGCACGCCCTAGGGCCTACAGAACACAAACTTTCCTGCTTACACAGAGGTAGCGGACCTTGTTAAAATTGCAGAAAACGTGGCCAACTCATTTATGGACTTGCTAATGTGCTTTATCTTTAATCTGCCAAATTCAACAACAAGGCAGAAGACGAAAATCCAATGTTAGCGCATGGGAGTTCACCTAGGCCGCAGCCCTTAAATTCACCTGTTCCGCCTAAACTTATCGTATTTATCATTTAAAAACGGGGGACTATTTCGGTCAGATCACTGAATCCAGATGGAAAGTAGGACTTAATGTTGATCAACTGCAGAATTGTTGACGACGGTGATGCGCATCGTGTTCCTCTTTTGACCGCCTAACGTCATCAGCGGCACAGTGATCCAGTAGGTCGACTAGGTCCGGTAGCCTTTAATTGGCTGCAATGCTCAACAGCGTACCGAGTCAGCGCAGTGTGTCGAAATCAAGGTCATTTGTAATGAATCACCTTGGCTGCTTAGCGGATCTGAATCCACGACAGAAAGACCGGTGGGGCGGGAAGCTATCGCGCAGCAAACTGTTATGCTACCTGACATCTCCTCGCCCTAACGACCATGTTATCTGAACTAACGCTGCACAAGACTCCAAATTGGAGGCAACCATATGTCAGTAAGCCCATCAGGGAGAGAGGAAGTAACAGGCGACGCTATTCTGGCGGAAATTTCCAAACCGTAGGCGCAGCAAGAACGAAATGGGATCTGACGTCCTGGGCTGTTTTCACGATACCGACCCTTTACCTCCTAACGCGTGCATGAAACCCGACAAACGCCCCCACGGAACCCGAAAACAACTGTCAACCAGAGTAGGCGCCACGTTCACGCAGGAGGCTAAAAGGCGTCGAAAGTTACCTGACGGCATTCATTTAAACTGCGGTTAAAAATAGCCGGGGAGAAGACCACACGTACTCTAAGTAGATGATTGCCTGTACTTGACCCTGTGAGAGGAAAACTTACCTGAATCAGAATAAAGATGATTGGTATGACCAGGAGAATTGTCTTTTCCTTCTCGACGAATTCGTTGATTCTTGTTCTACAGCCTGGAATCGCCTCTTTCTTTGCGTCTGCCTCCGAGCACTTTGAGGGCATCGTAGCGGTTGATTTTGAGCAGCATGGCGAAGGAATTGCTACCAGATGAAGAAGACGCAAGAAATGGAAGAGCACACTTTGCAAGCGGGTGGGAAGTGTCAAAAATACCGTTGTTTCCTTATAAAAGAAGTTCTCCTGACCTCGAGGGCTGGACCTAACATCTTTTTACGGACCCCCTGTGTCCGTGTCTTCCGGCGAGTCATGCGAAACTGGTAACGCCGAGTGAGTTAGTACTGGTGATTCCTCTGCAGGCTCTAACGCAAAGTAATATGTTACAACTGTGGATTGTCCCAGTCACAACCGCCCAAGGCCTTGAAATCATCAGGACTTCTGATGAAAATGTTACAGGGCGACCTTTTTCTTTGAATACTGCCGCGTTCTTATTAGTTTCTACTTACGTAAGTGGTTGATATCCAAGAAATACCTGTCCTTCACTGAGATCTTCGAGGCCGGAGAATTTAACTCTAAAAAAGTATGGAAAGTTTGTAGCAGCCGCTTCAGCCCCCCTTTTTCTCCGGCTCCGTTTTGTCGAACGATGGTCGCGAGAGCTGTCGACACACGGCCGTCCCCGCCGGCTAGAACTGGGACACCTCCGGTCCAACTGCAGTGACTCTCGGCTGACCTCACAGACTTTCGTCACCTCACGCGCGTCGAACGCTCCGGCCTGATACCCGCGAGGCCTTGTGAGCATGCGCCCCTCACTTTTCTCCTTATTTGTCCCATCACACGACCAACACTCAATCAGTCACCCCCTCCTGCTGACCCAGACACTCACCCCCGCGTAAGCAACACACCGCGATTGACACTCTCCGTGAACGGACGCTTATCTCTGTGGCAAGCAAACAGCCAACTTACGACAACCTGCCCTGTGTACAGAATAAACTAGTCCTCACAGCTCCCTGACTGCTGACATTAGACGAAACGAACTTACTGTGCGTGGTTTAAGTTGATCTCACATTCTTGACCGCCACAACTTCACCACCCCGTTATGGACTGTACCTTTTGACAGAAGGAGACAATTTGCGAACACTTCAATCTGCGACCCTATTTTAATCAGACGCTGAAATTCGGCATTCCTTATGAATAAACGTGGAGTCGGATTTACAGAATAGTAGGTTCGGTCCTCCTTCTCTCTTCAATGTGTCTGAGAGAAGGCAGTTGCATAACGACATGCGTGATGGGCGCATTTCCACCTCCGATCGCCTTGACTTAGTTTTCACATCGGAAGGCATTGGCGTAGGATGGACGAGTGCGGTAGGCGCAGCGGAAGTCTCCTCCGCAACCACGTCCACCTCATGAGACATCAGTGAACCACCCAACCCGCGAGGATCGAACTATCGTGTGTATGCATTTAAACAATTTCTCAATAACAAACACAACTCACAGTCTGCCTTAAAGTCCGAGTAACCGTCCATACCGCAACATGTCACGTTCTTTGCCTAGAAATGAAATAAAACTTAGAATGAGACAGTGACTTCTTGGTCCTCTTATCGAATGTTTGTGTGACTGATGGTAAGTAGGTGTTCAGGGCAAAAAAGACCTTGGGCTAAATGACGCAAGTAAATAATTTGTGCAGCCGGATGGTTACAGACTAGGTTAACTACCGACACTGCTGGCTATCAAATTTGACCGAATCCAGTTGGCCAATACTGCCCTTTCGATTTACTCTGATACAAACTCGTCAAATGATCCAAACTTTCGGGAGTGGGGAGGTGGGAAGCACTCACCGTCATGATCTGGTACCATACGTAAACACCGGGAGTATCTGCATGGTCCTTGACGAAAGCTCCCTTCAGGGTTCGTGTCATAAGCGCATCGACGGTGTTTTGCAACTGAAGTAGAAGCCATAGGAGTTAGATGACGCAAGAATTGATATGGTCTTCTGGAATTATTCCGAAAAAATTAGGAGACTGCTTCTTTCGCACAGGAAAACGTACGTTTTCATTCGTTCCAAAAATGAGACCGACTGCGACTGACTGAGCAATGATGAGTACGGCAAGAATTCCTGCGTACTGGAGGAGAAAAGACAAAAAATTAGGAAGTCACAGTGTTACTGCTGTTAGGAGGTCCACAGCGGATAAGAAAGTGACCAATGTAGCCGTCTTTTAAAGCAAGCAACATCAGTGACGCACTAGGTATGATAGCCTGTAGCCACGTTATAAGTATGCTCACCTATTAAACATCGTGACGGGGTGATACTCGATACTTTTTATTTGGTCAGGGGATTCTGGTTGGGAGTTCCACAGAGGGTTGTATGGTTTTAGTTAAAAATCAAGAATTGCCGCCTGCAGAGACGGCAGACATTATAGTGCACATCTAAATTTCATCCCTCTCTTTAAATGTGCGGTCCTACGCAAGTAGCAATACTCTAAGCCCTGAGATCCAAGCAGGAGTATCTTGACTTCAAAGTACATCGTTCTTTCAATGAACCCGAGGCGCAAGCTCGGTCAGTTGTGATCAGGTTCGCCGTTTGAATGTAACATCGCTCACCATCCGACAGCGACCATGCGCAACAAAGTCATGCGAGTGAAGAACGTGGGAGAACAATCGGGTGTCGTTTATCAGATCCCATGTCGGAATTGCCCTCTCCACTACACAAGACAGACCGGACGACGACTTGGCTCACGAATAACGGAACAGAAACGGACGGTCCGGAGAGGCGACCCGTTGTCTCAGGTCGCCACTCACGTCCTGGAGGAAGGCCACGAATTCGACTTCGCTAGCACGCGGATTGTAGCACGGGTCAGCAATAAAACAGGGCGAGAACTGTTGGAGGCCTGGGTGTCTGACACCAACTCTATCAACACAGACACGTTGGCACACCCCCCTGCTATCACGCGCTCCGTTCCCGCGGCCAAGAGGCGAGACCCAATTTCCAGCCAAGGGTGCACACAGTCACGCCGCCGTGAGACGGCGTGGATTCAGCCCTCTCGCGAACGCCACCCTCTGCACTCCTACCCTCCCCCCTTCATGGCTTGACTACAAAAACTGCTCATTGGACGCCGCATTCTCACAGTCTCTGACGCTTGCCTCCTGCACGAGACCGAAAGCTCAGACTAATACACGTATTGTCCCAGAGATCGTGTATTCATCTTCTTTACAACAAGAACCTGGGACTCGCATATTCGCTTCCATCCGTGTAACACAAGTGTCCATCATAACTGTGATTATCCGACCACCGAACACTGCTTCGCTCCAAAACTGTCTTGACTGAAGCCGTGTAAAAATGCCAACATTCCTGTTCCTTTCTAGCTAAGGCGAGATGGATGGCTCCCGGCCGGCACAGTGCGCACTTTGGCTGACTACTGGGACACACTGACTTTTAACTTGGACCCGCATCTGGACGGCATTTTCATATATTTTGAATGAGGCAGGCTGGTGTTGACAAGTCTGTCAGAAATTTTCATTCCACACGGCTCAGAGTTTATTGGCAAAAACAGGCGTGAATATTTTTATCAATAAGTATTTCACAAGGTTTTATAGCAATAATCAAACCATAAAAATAATCCGGCACGATACCTTACGCGTTAAGAGACCGAAATAGAGAAAGGGAAAGTACAGCTGTTACCATAATAATTGTACAATTTTTATGCAAACCCAATAATTCACCCATCGTCTTTTAATCTGTATTCTGGCCACGGGGATAGAAGAAAGTTTTTATTGATAATTCGGGAATGATTTTTTCAGAATAAAGCATATTCTCTCTCTCTTTCGCTTTCTGTCTCTCTCGTTAATTACTCATTAATTACGCAAAAGAAAGGCTATCGAGAATGCGCGACTGCACACTGAGTGGTTGAGAAATAGTTGCCCTGACCCCTAACCATAACCCCTAACTCCTACCCCTAACACTAACCCCCAACCCTAACCATAACCCATTAACCTAAGTCCTAAACCCCTAACTATAACCTTTAATACTAACCCCTAACCTTAACCCCAACTCTAACCTCCAGCCCCGTCCTCAACCCTAACCTTAGCCCTTTAACCCTAACCCTTAACTGCAGCCCTCAACCCTAAACCTAGAACACCCAACGCGAAAGTTAGAACGAGACGATAGGCCTACAGTCAAGAAGGACCACTGGCTATGGGCCAAAAAGGTCACAAAAAAACAAGGCCAACAACAGAACACACTGCAACGCACAGTAACGCCATTTCAATGTAATCACACCAACCCAAAATAATTAAGCAGGTCAACAGTATTGTGTCTATCAGGTGCGGCACATCACCACATCTGACTCTCTTTTTGACTTCCAAATATTGAGGTTTTCGTTATTGGTACCAAATTTAGCTATCGGGACAAACAGCGGAGAACCATCACCAGTTGCTAGTTAGGCAAGGGGACAGGGTGGCCTTTTTCTTCAGAACCAGGAAAATTTTAACTCCTACTTCCATTTCCTTGCAGCAGTCCGGTAAAATTTACGTGTGGGACGGGAGAGTGAGATGGCGCACTATTTTTTGCACAGAACATCTGTTCTTCTAAACACTGCGCGTGAATATTCAGTAGCATGACAAGTAGAACAGCAGGAGAGGTGGATGGGCAGGTCAAATATGGGTGAGTACACCATGTCCCATAGAAACATGGGGTTTACGAGAGCGAAGAAGAGAGCCTCGACAACTGCTTGTGTATCTCCTCAAGCGCCCGTGGCCTGTGACACTTAGGCCACGTCAGAAGTCAAGCGATTGCGGATCCCGAACAGCCTTGATGGTAGCCAATCACTGGCGCCCACAACCTCCACCATTACTCAAACAACTGGCTTTGACTGCCTCCCACGTGACGCTTATTCACTCCCGCTTACGTCACCCTAGCAGACTGGCAGGCAAGCAGACCCGGAGGCTCTGACTAACACTGTGCAGAATACACCACTTCTATTGGCGTCTTTCTCCTTCGTCTTCAGTGCATGACCAGACGATGATCACTGTGGTACTCTCTGAGTAAACTCACCACTTTAGCCACTACACCTGCAAGCAGGTCTGGTGGGTTTTTAGCTTCACTATGTGGGTGGCCGTGGTCCTTGTTACAATAACCCTTATAAATCGAGGCACTTTAGCGACACGATTGAAAGTAGAAGCACGTTCTCTTGCAGACGCGTCATCGTGGCCCAGTAACAAAGTCTCTTGCTTTTATGAGCACTGTTTAGCATTGCAAGTTCACAGGAAAAACACAGAATCAGAATAAGAGCCTATTTTACATGCATAGGTTGCATATATTTTAAAGCAGTTCGTTTTTTTGCTGGGGAAAAATAAACTGTAAACTTCCCATATGACGGAATGGACACAGGCCCATTCTTCGTGTAAAATTACATTTCTGGTGAATAAACATAACAGTTTGGGATATCGGCCTCAATCGCCCGTAAATATTTATTACCTAGACTCGCAACTTGCTTTACCGCGTTATTTAGAGTCGTCCTATTTTTGTACTAGGATGCTTCTTCGAGAAACCTAAGGACTTTCTGCTGGTCAGGCCTTATGCAGTTCACACTCCCGAGTTTCTAAGCCACTTGCGTTAGCTTAGCCGACCCTCTCACTGCAAAATCTCAGTTGTCCCGCCAACCGACTTGGTGGCTTGTGCGATATCCTTCTCACAAAGCGATGTCCCAACGCTCAAGCATACAAAACCACTTCTAAGGGAAGACCCTTATAGCGACTGCAGTAAATACAGTAGGTGGGTTAATTCACGAAATGTCAACCGTAATTCCGAAATGTGTCTTCAACTCGGAAAGATTAATTAAGTAGGGTTGCAAAACTAATCAGCCTGCAACATAATTCTATAATAATTAAGTTGCCTCAGGATGCCGGCTTTCGAACGAACTCCTTTCTGAGGGCATGCAAAAAATATCCTCTGTAAAAACAACTGTTTAAAGAGTATGCGTTTTTCTCATTGATTTTCGGTGCCCCTAAACATTCAATCATACTTCATGGAAAACATGCATAAAAATACTCATTGGTTTGTTCATTTGGTAGAAAATGACGTCTTCTTGCAATTTTATATTCGAAGAAAGGGCATAATTCGGTTTTCAAAAACTTTTCCGATTCTCGAATTATTTTGAACCTGACCTGCCGTTACACTTGCATCCAGGGTTTCCAAACTACAAGCCGTATATTTTCTGCATACAAAATAACCATATATTTCTCTACGGCATTAAGAGGAGACCATATGGGGTTCATAAAGTTTAGCAGTGGATTGAATCCTTATTGTTAACTTTACAAGTCACACTGGTATATGCAGATAGATTACGCTTTTGTGAAGGCCATTCCAAGATATTAAAAATCTCAAAATTAGGAACTTTTTAAAAACTGAATTATACCCTTCCTTCGAGTATAAAATTGGAAGATGATGCAAATTTCTACCGAATGAGCAAAAGAATGAACATTTTTATGCATGGATACCAATTGAATTTTTAAGGGCATCGAAAATCAACAAGAAAAATGCATGCTATTTAAGTAGTCATTTATTAAAGAGTATGCTTTGTTTATGCAGCCTTTAAGAGGTCCGTTCGAAAGCTGGCATCCTGCCGTAACTGAAATATTATAGAATTATGCTGCAAACTGATTAGTTCTACAACCCTGCTTACTTAAACTCTTCGAAACGAAAACGCACTTCGGAAATTCGGTCGACATTTCAGGAGTTAGACCAGCTACTGTATGTTGTAGAGAATTACCCTGAGTAACAGACGGCCTCAAATACGCGCACACCCGCATGCATGCCCCTGAAAAATCGTTTGAGGTTGTTATATCGAGGCTAGGAAAAAAGTAAAATGCACATTCCAGAAAAAAATAGACCAATCAGGCACAACTATTTCGTCCAGAGCTTATAATAGGCTGTGAGCAGCCGAGTTTCTGCTTATCCCCTGCGCTCACAAAGCACAATTGTCGATGAAATTAGTCCCAATGAACGTCACTTTCAAAAGAGCACTTTATGCCGTGTCGAAACGCCTTCACCAAAAAGGCCGGAACAAAGGAGACTGGAAGGGCCAGCTCTGGCTTATTAGCCGTCGTTAGCCGACTGTACCCAACTTCCCAAACCGGGGCTCGAGTCAGTTCCGTAACGCGATCGTAAAGCGCCCCTATACTACAAAAGTAAATGTCCCGATTTACCCGCAAATGGTTATTTTGCTACGTTGAAACCGCATCTTTGGTCCTGTTGAATCATATGCACGTCCCAGATGGACCGTTTCAGACAAAAGAGATAAATGCGTTGCAGTTGGAAATAGTTTCTCAGATGTGCATTAAACAGACCAATCGATTGACATTGATGACGACGTACTCTTCATTTAACAAAAAACAGAAAGTAAGGGATTCTTTGTCGGAAGGGTTGCATTTGTTGTCTGGTGATTTAGACAGGCCGTCAGTTTCCAGACAGTGCGTAGGCAACATTTTCCCATTTCCAGAATGTAAGCTGGTGTTTTTGTTATGCCCTAAACAGATATGCGACAACAAGTACCTTCCTACCGACAAGCCAGACGTGTTTACGATTTTCCCGCTTCCACTTGCAAAAATCCTAGTTTCTGAAAAATTACCGTACCTTTCGAAATGCAGCGGAGAGTTCGACATAAGCAATGCAGTTGCAGGGTTTCAGATAAACAGGAGCACAGGATTCAGAACCATGAATAACAGCAAAAGGTTTCTTACATGACAGGAATATTGTATGAGAAGATCCCTAATTAGTAAACAGACAATGTTCCACAGTACTCACGATTTTCAGTAGCATTCTACAACCGCAGCAGGATGCCATAGCCCCCACAAGGCAGAACAGTGCGCAGAGTAGGCCAAAGAGAATGAGCGCCAGAGCGATTGGCACTAGGCAGATAGGAAGAAAATGATGGATCAGTAATTTGAGACAGACCAGGACGTTCTGATAATACAAAAAAACTCGGGCAACAAATAAACCTCTATCTTGAGGCAGAAAAAAGGACGCCATCAGACCTTGCAGGCGGAGACTGGACTCTCAGGCGGGATCTAAGATCATAGCCTTTATTGCAACCCGCAGCTTCTAAAACTTCTTTTTTACGAAGAAAACCCGTAGACCTTATGGCTAAAATGAAATGGCGCCAAAGGCAGTAAGATTGACGCGTGTCTTCAGATTGTCACTCCGTACAGAAACGAAGGCGGCCACTATTTTTTATAATATGTAGACCTAAAAGTGCTTAAATAAGCCAACATAGTTTCAATGCATCAATCGCGGAATCGCTTGTAAAATGCGCGTCATTTCTGTTATGCCCACTTTCCGACACAAATACCTTTAAGTTGGGGAATCGAATCAGCCAGATCCTCCCTAGCATAATATGACTGACTTTTGGATACTTATATGCCTTGGGTTGTCTTTTCGATGTCGACAGTCGGGGCCTCAATTGTTAACCATAATATTCTCCAAACATCGATTTGCATGTTCTACTTGATAAATAAGGCAACCAAAAAGCACGGTTACACATCAAAGGCTAGAAAAATCGACAAAAGAACACTTAAAACGGGTGATAACAGTTTAGTGATTCCTCTTCGAGGCATAATAGCGTATGTACGTCATCGTAAGAATATCTTCAGCACCATATTATGATCAGACTCACATTTAGAGGCAAGTATTTAGTGAATAACTTTAGAGACTAACTCATTTCCTAATGTATTATCAAACAGGATTATTTAGCGGTTTGGTAGATTCTTGATTGGGAATTGGCCGGCCGGCGTATAACAAATAAGTTGCTGTGCTGTTTCGAAGTACGAAAAACATCACCTATTCAAGCGCATCTTTACACATTTTGCTTACTTAGGAAGAAACTTTTGCACGCACGGGATCTCCCATATTCGTATTGGTTTCAAAAGTGATCAGCCTATGACATCACGTTGTTGTTTTAGAAGTTCGGAGCTCGGCCTGAGATGATTTGCAAAACACCCCTATTCTGGTTTGGACACTGCTTTTTATCATATTAGCTTTCGAAAAAATACATTTTTGCCCATCCAAGCCTATTTTTTATATTTGAAGTCCATCGTACATTTGATTTTGTTTTCCCAAACGATCAAGCCCCATCTATATACACTTGGTTTTTGTTCGTAGTTATTCAAGAATGATGCCAGCATCACAATAACGACCCAATAAAAAGTAAATGAGTAGGGCAACACTTAAGTTAAAAAAATATGTCGTAGGTAGGCGAGATTATCTGGTAGCCCAGTCATTATGGCTGGTCTTAGGTATTCATCAGTTCTTCATAGTTCACCGTCCTTTCGAAGTGCATCCTAATTTCGATTCCAAATCATCACCCGGTTTGAATAACAGATATTCAACAACCCCCTGCGAAAACAGATGATGGACGTTAAATATAGTCCACTTTTCTCTGGTTGATTCCCCGTCTGCAACAAAACAAACGCCAAAAAGGGCACTTCTCCGTTTCACGTAGAATGCCCTAAAATTATGCCTGAAAATTTTGGATAACTCTTTCGTATGAAACGGGCAAGTTTTTTTAACGGTCAGAAGAACGTGAGGCAAAAAATGTAATTACGGCAGTTTTGCATGAAGAATTTGGCGATATTCTCCGCGGTGGTTTCGGGCACCGACTTGTCCAGCAACGCCTGCATATAGCCAGTTACCAAGTGCGGAGAAAATCTTATCAGAAAGCCGAATACCATTAGGAGGAGGAACAGTAGCTGCAATAGGTTGACAAAAAAGTAAACAGCGTTGAAGGTTTAATTTCATATATATGTCATATTGTAGGATTAATAACAGTATTTGAAGTAGTGAAAGTTAAACGAACCGCCAATCGGTAGTGAAAAATCAGTATAAAGGCATATTCGTAAAGGAATCCTATTAGCAGAAACAAATTATTAGAGGACTGGAGCTAACCGTTCGTTCACAAAAATAAACTGCTTTTCCTTTAACTGACTGCAAACTCTAGCACTCTCATAGTACGCTCACTGGGCGAAATTTATGGGACGTTTTGCTAATAGAAAAAAATTGTTAAGTTTTGTTTTTTAGTTCTCCTAAGTTGTTGAATGTTTTAAGCTTTTCGTTGTTTCCCTGCAATTATCTTGGAAATGATGATTCTGCATAGAATTCTTAGTAAATCTTAGCTTCTAACAGCATGCAGGTTTGGAAACTCACCGACTGTTTATGCTAATTCATCTTTGAAGGAAAACACTTTTAAACGATAGGTGAGAATGAAAAACACATTTTCCGGTAATAAACATCCTACGTTTATCCGCATTTTCCACAGCTTCGATTAGTTATCCTAATGCTTTACTTTGTTTCTGCTGAAACTGACGGCACTGCTCGATGGATGTGTGATTTTACAACCCGTTCTATTCCCCTCACTCGTTCAAGACTACCTGTTCCAATGGTTGTGAAGTGTGCACCGCAGCTGGTTCAAATAGAGACACAAAGTTCGGTTGACAGGGAGCAGTGACTCGCCGACTGACGGATTCAGAGTTCGGTAGACAGGCCGGAGCAAAATCCACGCACGTAGGGGACAATACGTGCTGCGCAGAACATGTAGAGCGAAGATCTCAAGTATAGGAGTCGTTAATCTCGGCGAAACGAATAGTTAGAATTCTAGGACCCAGTTTGCGAACTCTGAATCCAACGGAAGGCATGTCGAGCTCTGCAGTACGTAGACTAGACGGGTTTGGGAACCAGGGCTGGGAGAGGGGATGTTGCCGATGTCAGAGGCACCGCGACGCCCAACGTCAATGGGTTCATCAGTCGCCATTCTGTTCCTGCTCGGCGCACTTAGAGCAAGCCCGGCTAAGTCTGCCTGTTTCAACCAGTAGACATCACCTTCTTAAAGTAAAAAACCGATACATGACTTGCACCGATCGCTTCTGACCTCCTGGAGGTTCGTCTGAGGACTCTTCGTTTACTGATATTTAATAATTAAATTAGAGCTTCGTAAGCTCCATTTTTTCGATGCACGAGTTTTCCAAAAGCTGAGATGGTCAACAGAGACAGTGGTTGTCAGAATGGAACATGCACGATGTCCCCTAACATTCCGACCTAGAGGTCCCAAAACCTTTTGAGGAAAGCCTAATGGAGCGGATTTAAAGAGGGGTGAATACTTTCCTTGCGATGTCAGGTGTGGCTTTTGGGGTCTGTCTGTTCCCGCGATCGCCAGCAAAGCCGAAGACCCCTGTCGCCTTCAGTTCGCCGAACGTCCTCTGTCAATCGATTGCCTGAGCTGATCGTAACTTGGCCCCAGCTTGGAGAGAGTTCAAGGTCAGTTGACGCTGCAATCTTCGTTGATTGGCTACAGGTGGGCAAAGTCTAGTCGCAAACAGGCCCTCTGTCTACAAATGCCTGTTGAGCTGCGTGCACACTCTCTCGAACCAACTCTCGCTCTCTCTCTTTCTGCTTTTGATTTAAGAATATTCGAGTTGTCGAACTTCGCGTATTGACCTGTTAACTCAGCCAGATTTTGGAATAAATCAATGAGGTCTGACGTAGCACAGATCCACCCAAATCGACAGTAAAATGCAATTCACTTTTGTCAAATTATAACAACATATTACTGACTTGATTCTACCAGGTATGTAACCATTCAAGATGCAAAATGGGATTAAGGAAATTTTAATTTGACAGGACGGTTTAGGGCAGAGTAGGTCAAGTTACATACCATCAACAGAATGTTGATCAGAACAATCAGAAACCGGAGACATCTTGAGGCGTCGCAACCCATGCTGAACGGCGATCCCTAGATAACAGTAAAGAGTGCTAAAAATTATGAATTGGGAACTCAAAAGTGAAGCCTTTTGTACAATCGGGAAACTGATTATAAAAATTTCACGTAAAATACGGAATTTAGGCTTTGACAGAACAACGGAGGACACTGTGTTTCCTTCGAACAGAGGGACATTAAAAAGTCATTAATAGTCTTTCTATTGGGCATTTAGTGTGTCGAAAACACATGTAATACGAACAGCACGACCAACGCCCTGTGTTTTACCGTCGCGGCCTCGTGATGCGGCAAATAGACAAAAGTTTGGCTTTGGTTGGAGTGCAGTTTAAGGCTGAACAGGGGAGAGGCAGCCGCTTGCTCTGCATGCGTGATTTTATTGCCTAGATTGTGCGTGAAAATAAACGCTATTGGAAATTTGAATGATAATTTTTCCTGAGACTTCGCGAGCCATGTTCATCAGCCTTTGGGAGCAGGCACAGTTGGTACATCTAGTAAGTATTAAGCGATCGATACGTTACGTTCAAATTTACAGTAGATAGATAAGACTGAGTAGCCCTAATACTTCCCAAAACACCTTGTGATATCTGTCAAAATTCCTGCCTAACACTCTTGTGGAGACTATAATTTAGTCCTAAGTTTAAAACCCAGCACAGAAGCAAACCAAATTAATGACAATGTTTTTGACGAAGGCGTTTAAAAACAGGTCTGTGAATCTTCCCGTTGTTGCCACCATTCAAAAATAGCTACCTGGATTGATACTGCAAAATATTTAGGAAATAATTTCCAAAGATCGATTATGCAGTTAAATGCAGGAGTAGCAGATCGTCTGCCGTCAACATCTCAGTAGAGTTTTTAGAACGAGTGTCATTCAGTTAATGCAAAAGAAATAGCTAGGAAAGCTCTCGGAAAAAACAGTACGCGACCTATCTCCTGAAACCCGATGACAGAAATTAATATGAGAATTTTCGGGCTTCCTAAACTTTATGCATTTTGCCCACCTGCCTTGTCTCTTCGGCGAGATGTCCTTTTAGCGTGCGGAAAATGTGTCCACGTAATTTAATCAAGCAAACTGATCATACATTTGAGCGAAAATAGACGTTGCGATATATTCTGACAATTCCTATGCTAATACCTCTTCTAGATGTCGTCTGCGCATCTGAACCTGCTGTTCTTTGAGATAGAGTAATTTACTTTCAAAGACAGTACCAAGCAGAGCGTGCCACATTTAGGAATTGATTTTTCTTCCGTCGCTAACCGCGGGAATCAACTTGCAAACACACAGCTTATTTTAAGGAAACAAGACCTTTTTTTCTACTTTAAGAAGTCAGGGTAGCATTTCTTTGCAATTTGGGACTCCAAAGTGCATAAATTACATAGGCAGGCAATCTGCAGCCAAATGCACCGAAACCATTTTGCCACCGAATGGCTATTTTCACGTTTCAACATATAAAAGATTACATTTCGTGCGGCCTAGCATATTCATGTATGTAATATATAAATGGAACGAGTGAAACATTAACAGTTCCAGCAAAACATCGGTATTTATATGACCACTCCTCAATACATTCATAATTGTAGAACGCTGCCTGCAAGTGAGCGAAGATTTCAAAAATGGATGCAATATAGTGAAAAAGACATGCTCTTACGTCTGCAGGAGAAAAATTTCGGTATGTTTTTAGTAAAGTGAAAGAAACAACAAAAAGTGTCAAAAGTTTTTTTGCTTTGCTATGTCACAGTGTAAAGGACACAGACATATATCAGCTGAATACGCTGTAAACGCACTTCTTTAAAGGACAACTCATTAGAGAAAGCTTTCTAACTGATCTAGGTAACTTTCGTTGCTAGCCTTTGTAGTGGGCTTTAATTTCTTTCGACGATGAGGTTTCACGTTTTGGGGAGTCTTCAAATGTGACTCAGAGACCTTTCACAAGAAGACGTCCTCAAACAGTCACTACCTCGGTGAAATTCCTTAAATAGTATCTTATTTTAAAAGTTAGTGAACACATTATGGGCTGTCGACCAAAAACCAAGAAAATCATGAGGTATTCGGCGATAATTTAAGGCCGATCAGAAACTTAGTGTAATTCAAAATGAACGAAAAGTACAAATTAATTTCATGAAATAAAACTTTCATTATGTACACAAAATAGTATGTTTATGATTACATCTGTCAATTTTTTAAAATTTATTAGGCACTGACCGGCCTAGGAACGTGCGCCCCCCGCGAAAACTTTTATTCCCCATGAGGTTTCTATTAGGGATATGAGGCAGAATCCTGTCTCCCTTGTCCAACCGCATAGAAGTCAATGCAAAAGCATAAAGAATCCCACTAATCCTCGGGAAACCGTTTTGGGATCCATGCTTGGAATGCAGCTGCATGGAGACCCTGGATAGTCCACACCCATTCCAGGCTCCTTGTTTAGGAGACAAGAATAAGTTCGAATGATGTATCGCCAACAACTGACAGTATGCCGCACTTTGTCTTCCATAAAGTGTTTTGTTTGTAAAAAATGCCGAAAATGAATTCCCCAGCCTCCTAATTTCGGCGTATTCTTTCAGAAAAAAAGCCGTAACCAGTTGTTTATTAACTTCTTCGTTTACAGCTTTACTTCTGACGGCTAACCTTTTTTCGGAAAGTGACATTTTTTACTCCGTCTTCCAACGAGTCCAAAGCTACTGATTATTTGCTTGCTTCAGGAATTTAAATCCTGCCCTTCATTTCTACAGCAAGTTATCATATGGAAAAAACAGAGCATTACGAAAGGGCGACCACCTCCTCTCAAAACATGCTTAGTAAAAAACCATGGTGCTTTAACAGCGGTCCAATCAGAGTCCCGCTGTCTTAGGATGGCTAGATGAAGTTGGAATTTTTTTAAAAAGTAACTAGATTGTATCTACCGAAAGTTTCAAAATCTGCACGGTCAAATATAGGTGACAGAATAATAAACTGAGGTGAGATAAAAATTTCGCCCGCCCGTAAGTAAAGATCTTAGTCAGGATTGGAACGCAACGGCTCCTTCAGAAGTCAAAGCAAGTTGAAATCACAAAAAAAGTTCTTTTGGATGTCCTGTTTGGCCAACGAAACACAGATTTGCGTTGATGTACGTGGATTTGATGTTACGATTAGTAGGTAAAACTGTTTTACGCGTATTCACTTCCTTTTAGGATATGCTTTAAGCTAAACTTACTTGCGCAGAAATCACTTACACAACTTTAAAATGTAATCTTTTTTTCCTTCATACAAGGCCCTTTTAAAATAGGCTCTCTTGCCGCTTCTATGCCGAGGACACTAAAGACACAGCTTAGGTGACGTGATTGGGCATTTGTTTTATTTAATTTTATTTAATTAATTAATTAATTAATTAATTATTTAAGTTAATAATGAATATTCCTATGATCATACGGGCACCCCATGTTTCGCTGCACCCAAGGAAAAACCTACAGAACATAAAGTAGTTAACGAAACGCTTTATGTTCTGTCTAGTTTTTTTAAAGACCGCTTTGCGCTACGTCGGCATCAATCGACCGACGTCACGTGAAAATAAACATGAGTTATATGGGAGGGGTTCCACGATGGGTACGATGGAATTATCACTGCGACACTGAAAAAAGTCAGAGAAGGTGGAATTCTGCGTAGGCTGTTGGGGGGAGGGGAGGTGAGGAGGGGAAATGGAGGTCCCGATGTACTTCACAGCCTTCGAATTCCTCGTCACACACATCTCAAGTTGCACAAAACCTGTGCGTATGCACGCCCACGCAGAGCTATCACGTATTCGTGACACGATTTACTACATGAGTGCTGTTAGAGACGTGATTTAATTTCTGTACTCTGCACTGCTACAGTCTTTGACGATGGCCTCCTGTACGAGACCGAAAGCTCAGACTAATACGCCTTCTTCTCCAGAGATCGTTTATTCATCTTCTTTACAACAAGAACCCGGGGTTCGCATATTCGTTTTCATTCGTGAAAATTTCGGGCGTAATGCGCTTCGCACAGCTCGCAGCTGGGAGACATTCTCCACCTGAGAGGCGGCAACATATGAGCGGCTGCGTTTTCTGCACAGATGTGTTCGCCAAGGACTGGCACCGAACAGCCTACGCTACAAGACTGCAGTGAATACTGAACTGGGTGGAAACGTTGCGCAAAGTTTTCACAAGCAAATGACAAGGGTGTTGCTCAACGACTGCCATTTGCGCCTACGCAAGTACCACGCTGTCATCGAACAGAAAAGGACAGAGTAAGATACATTGTTTGGTGAATTGGTTATTGATTCCCTTGGCCGAACAATATTCACCATGGTCAAAAGGAGACAGGAGTTAAAACGCGTGAACCTAGAGCAGAAGTTCGAAAATTAAAAAACCCGAATACAAGATGAACGAAAATGCTGTGCAAAGTCTATCTTTCAGGCAGTTAACGGAGCAGGAACTGAGAGTAGTGAGTCGTAAAGCCTGCTTTAATACGACAGATGCTAAACCAGCCGAATATATTGCCGCACTTGAAGACATTCTAGTAGGAACCAACGCAACCGACGAGACTAAACACACCTTACGCCAGAAAATCACCTCACTACTGCTGACGAACAGGCCCACCAACAATATGTCGTCCGCAGAAGTAGAAGCAATTAAGGAATTAAAAATGGACAAAGATATAATAGTGTTGCCAGCCGAAAAAGGAAGAGCAACCGTCGTGATGAATCGCATTGACTACAACGAAAAGGCACAAGCCTTCCTCGCGAGCAGAATCGATGATTGGTCAACTAACCGGACTCCTGAACCGACTCAAACGCAACAGTGCGATATCGCTAGACGAATGGCGGCAGATGAAACCAACGGACATGACACTGGCCCGGTTTTACAGATTACCCAAAATCCACAAGCCCCATGCTCCCCTTCGACCGATTGTTGCCTTGGAAGGCATCCCCACTTACAATCTATCCAAGTGGATGGCACAAAAACTTAACTTTCTCCGAGAAGGCTCCAGGACCCACATTAATTTGGCCTCCCAATTCCTGGCCGACATACGAGGAAACGATTTCCGACCGGATGAGATTATGGTGTCCTTTGATGTGGTTTCATTATTCAAATCCATCCCACCGGACCTGGCACTCGACGTTCTTCGCAAAGGACCCGAAGAGAACTACGGCCAAACAAACAGACCCCTAAAAATCGACCACTTAGAGCAACTCTTTGCTGTCTGCCAACAAACCTTTTTCATCCTCAATGGCAGAACATACCAGCAGATCAAAGAAGCACTGATGGGTTCACCAATATCCAGTCTGGTTGCAGAACTAGTCTTGCAGGAGCAGGAAAAAGTCGCCTTCGACCACTATAAACCTGCATTTTGGCGCCGGTACGTGGACGACACGTTCGTTATAATTGAAAGAAGTAGATTGGTCGACTTTCAAGGCCTACTTAACGGCATATCCCCGGAAATTCAGTTCACAAGGGAAGAAGAGCATGCCAAACAGCTGCCTTTCCTTTCTTCAGACTAATACACCTACAATTCTAGAGATCGTGTGCTCATCTTCTTTAAGCCTTACAGAGTGCTCATCGGCTTATAACAGGGACTGATGAAACTTTACGGCGTTGACATGCAGAATGGTGCTATTTCGAGTTGTTTTATGGGGAAATTTAGCTAACGCAGCGCACCCAAAAGACCTGCTGACGGTTTATGACTGCGCCTTAGCCCGGTAATTTTTGAGGGTGACCCCTAAAACGGACTACGCGGTAAATGAGTCGGACCAACACGCGGGCTTGAGTGGGGCCCAGCAGGTGTTCTCGGAGAGGCGCACCGACGACAGATGCCGTTGCAAGTTCTTGTCAGTAGTTCCTATGTACAGAAGTGGAAATCTGAGCAATAAACCCTTCTAGTCTCCTTCCCACTAAAAGTGTAGGCGGCGTATTTTACAGGCAATTATTATGTTAGCCGACGACGAAGAGAATGGAGTAAATAGAGTTAGACTCCCTGAGAAATAGAGTAAAATAGTGCACATTGACAATGGGATCAGGTTTGCATTCAGCAGTCAACAAAAGAAAGCCGCAAAAACTTCAAATTCGATGTTACTCATATGCATATATTACTGCTGGAAGCGTCCCCGGACGTAAATAGGAAGGAGCGACGATTTCAAGAAGCACAGTTTTATTGCCCTGCCGATTCAAAAGCAAACGCTCACCGCCGACGATGACAGGTTGTATGCTTTTGCAACGTCAGGGCAATACATCTACGGTTCCCGAGATCGCCTCTTCTTATATGTATGTATATGTATAAATTGAAAATGGGCATCCCAAGAAATTAAATAAGAAAGACTGAACTTCTTGGGAAACAGTAAACTTTATCATTTAAATTTTCGAGACTTATTTCTCGGCTCGGCTTCGAACTATAGGAGTGCAAGACAATTAACTTCTAAACTGAGTCTGATTGGCTAAAGTCTGAGTCAATGCTGTTCGGTCAACAACAGTTATCAAATAAAACCTAATGATTTGTCCCGACTATTTTCCCAGACATTTTGTACGCCGGTGCATTAAACAACGGAAATTAAAAGAGAAATGCAAGGAGATAGTTTCTCCCAGTCAAACGGCTAGACAAAAAAATGGAGAACGCTTCCGCACGTTACAAACGTGTCTGAACTGGTTAAAAGACACCTGAAGAAACATGAGATACAAGTGGCGCACAAATCGAGGACCATATTACGCAACCAGCTCGTACGCCCCAAGGATAGCGTTAGTTATTTAGGTAAGAAAGAGGTCAGCTACATGATTCCGTGTTACACCTGCAATGCAATGTAATGTGGTCAAAATGGAAAGTCGGCCTCCACGCGCATACATGAACATCTAGTGGCCGTGAGGAGGCCAAACCAATACTCCCAGGTTACCATGCACACGCTAGGAACTGGCCACATATTTCTTTGGGGCTAAAAGCACATTGTTAATGTCTATTGATCTGGACAAGACCGTGGATTTTTGGAGGCCATGAATCATTCATTAATCGGCGCATTGAACTAGACGTCGTTTACAATAATCTCAGGGGAAGATGGAAGAGACTACAGCAAATCAACGCGAGATGTCAGCCGGGATCATGAATAGTTAGCAAGAATTAAAAGACACTATCGATTTTTTAACACGTAAAAGCGTTGACTGTTTTGCATATTTGCTGCGGGTCTGAAGCCAAACTGGGGAACCAACGTTGAGAATTCACGGGAGGAAGTTTGTTTCTTTTCCAAAGAACCTCTTATTTTTTAATATATATATATATATATACACCCACATAAGGAGTAGGAGCACACAGCTCTATTGGCTTCCCTAATCTAACAAGCTCCTTATGGGTGGCAAAGGTCGCGAACGGGCAACGAATTACTAGGTCGAGGTCGGCCAAGTCATAATAGCAGCGAGGAGGGACGACAGAGATTGCGGGTGGTGGACCAACTGCGCCAGATGTCTGTGCGCGTGTTTGCGTTCCCGGTTCCGGCTGGTGGTCAGGGTTATGGCTGACTAAATATAGGCAAACAGGCCAGAAACAGTTATGTATTAATCTGCTCCCCAGACTCTGTCGTCTCCCCTCTGAAAGATATATATACGAGCAAGAAGGGATGACAGACCAGCGGCTGCGACCGAAAACAAATACATGCACACGGACACACCTGGCGCAGGTAGCCCACCACTGGTTTCTACCAGATGGGTCATAAGCACTTAATCGAACCGAAGTTCATCAGTGTCTCGCCACCTGTCATTCCCTGTCGCTGCAGATCGGGTATTTATTCACTCAGAAATGGGCGTACACGGATCTATTGGTTTTCCGAAGTAACCAAGCTCCGTATGAGTGGCAAAGTTCACGAGCAGGAGTATATATAGCGTATGTCTTTGGACAACGGTATAGAAAAGGACCCAACTTAACTGTTAGCAGACTGTGGATCGTGCCATATGGGGTTTTGTCTTGGTATACATTTGCAGGCTGTTGCCGAAATTACACTGCCGATTACTTTCCACGACCTAAAACCATATCTCAAAGTTCGTTATTTTGTGAAATTTGCTCTCTGTTTATTGTTTAATTAGTACTCTCATTTTCGTTGTCGTACAATAGAGTCGGCATAATTCCGCGCAATTTCAGCTTGCTGTCTAGCATGTTGCCCCACACATAAAACTCCCTTTACCATAACTCACGTATAGCACGATCAACAGTCTACTGACAGTTAATTGGGGCCCTTCTCTATACCGTTGCCTGTGTTTGATTACAAGGGCATCGAATATCCGTGGGAAAACTTCATAAGTGACTATTATTTTGCCATGCACGGGTTTTCATGCTGGCTGGAAATGAGCTCAGTTAATAGCCGGCTTCCTGGCAGGCTAGAAATATTTTCAGACAATTCTGCACGATAATCACTATTGCTACATCAAGTAAAAATTCTTTCTAATCGAAAACACTTTTCAGTATTTGATTAACATTCTATACCTCAGGCCGCCTGCTATATATAAATCCCGTAGACGGCCTGGCCTGAGAAGAAGCTACTAACGACGGCTAATGTTTTGGAAGGGACTATTCAAATCAATTTTGTTTTTATCGGATTTGCTCTCTTAAACGCATTCATATTCTTTCAGAATAATCTAATTCATGTCTCTTCTTAAAACATTTTTACATTGGTAGGACAGACTTGTGTAGCCACTTAAACGGGACATAAGAACAAGTACCGCCCGCAATACGGTAAGCTTTGAGCAAATTTCCAGTGAAAATAGGGCAAGGTCTCAGGTTAGATCTAAGGTAAAGGAATGGGATTAAGGCCAGATTTAACGCTAACGGTAAGGCAAGTCGGGATAAAGAGGGAGTTTAATGTGGGAACTAGTGTCAATTGCAGCGTTGGGGATGTATGTGGAGTTAGGATGAACACAAAAGCAATGGTTTTACTTTATACAAGAGTTACTGTTAAGGTTAGGATACGGAACTGTTTTGTTTTTGCCAGAATTATGTTCAGATCCACCTTTACTACCTGGCAGTTCCTACCTATTTCCCTGTCCTGTTAAAAGGACCACACAAGTCAATCCCATCGTTGGGTTTGTCACAACGGCCTTTAAAATAAACAACTCATGGATGTTTCAGTTTGAAGACAAAACCTTAACAAGCAGGTTAAAGAAATAGTTCTGCCTGACTCCGGTTGTCGTGGGGGTTTGAGCGTGTAAGCGACGCGTGGGTAGTTGTATTCACGATGACGTCTTGAAAAGATCGGCAAAATACTCACGATCCATAAGCACGCGGTTGAAAAGGATCTCACTCCCACGCACTTGCCAGTTTTTCTTTTAGGAAAAGGTTGTTTTGGACGGGCCTTGTGAAAAAAATGCAATTCTGCCTTGTTTAATTTCGGAAGAAATAAATGCGTAATCCTGGAGTAAGTCCTTCGCAGCAGACCGTTGCAGGCTGGGTCCGTAAGTTGATATGAATATTTAAGTTGAAATCCGTCATCTACTGCGAAATGACCGCGGAATATCCATGCAGTTGTATGCTACTGACTGCCTGTTGACAGCTGGCGAATATCAAATAGTTATTTCGCAGTTGCTGCTGGACTACAGATCAAATTTTGGACTGAGCCTAAGAAGGTCTTATCCAAAGAATTTTTCCAGGTCTGCGCATTAGTTTCCTCGAAAGCAAAACAGGACAGGATGAAACTGGAGTCCATATACGAGGGAACACACGAAGAACGCTGGAGGGCCCACTGATGAACCGGACCCCTTGTGGCTACGTCAGGCAGCGACACAAGCTCGGCAAAACACGCTTGTCCGGGCTTTTAAGTAGCATCTATGCTGTCCGTATGGTCAATAATCACACAGTTGGATAGTACAAATTATCTCGCTGATGAGTTTTTACTTCAACGTTTAAACCATCACATGGACATCTGCACACCCACGTGTAAATATTCCGAGCACTAACTCACGGGCAACACCGAGCTTGTGAAACTCACTACCCACAGGCGGATAAAATGCCGAGCAAGTTACACAGTAAAAGAGCTTACTGAAGTCGGGCCTTGTACATTGTGAGAAATACGCTCTTTAAACACTGGTGTATCGCAAGACGTCCCCTTTTGTCCTCGACTGCCCCCCCCCCTCCGCAGAAAGATTAGTCCTCTCAGAGTCATGCATGCGTGTATATTTTCGAGTTTTTTCATATATTCGAAATTTAATTTACTGGCCACTCACATATCGCTCCCCACAATGGGGCATGTTCTTTGGTTAGCGAGATATTCAAAAAAGCCCTGAATTTCAACTTTTAAATTGTCTCACTCCCTATATTTTCTGACTGTGGCTATAGGGTTTCATTCTTCTACGTTATCCTTCCAACCGTCGGAATGGGGTATCCTTCAAGAAATAATCAATGTTTTGTTTTACAGTGCGTGACCTATCTCATGAAATGTTGGCTGAAATTCTGAAATGTGTTTTCGATTAGGAAGGATTACTTGATCGCGGTTGTGATACTGATTATCATAAAGCATACTCTTATAACATTTTGGACTTGGCAGGATGTCGGCTTTTAAAAGCACTTCTTTTCAATCTCCTGTAGAAGGCGTGCTCGGTAAAAAATGAGTACTTAAGTAGTATGCATTTTTCCCATTGATTTTCGATGGTCTTGGAAATTCAAATATATTTTATAGAAACCGCAAACAAAAATATTCTTTCTTTTAGTCAATCGATAGAGAATCACCTCTTCTTTATATTTTATACTTAAGGAAGGAGTATAATTAGGTTTTAAAAAAGTTTCTAATTATGAGACTTTTTAAGACCACGATATGTCCATTCACATAGCATCGTACCTGGCCGTTAACCACTGCTCCTCATGAAATGTACATCATGGTTTTTAAAACCTAATTATACTCCTTCCTTAAGTATAAAATATAAAGAAGACGTGATTCTTTATCGATTGACTAAAATAAAGCATATTTTTGTTTATAGTTTCTATAAAATATATTTGAATTTGCAAGACTTTCGAAAATCAATGGGAAAAATGTATGCTACTTGAGTAGTCATTTTTTACCAAGCACGCCTTCTACAGGAGATTGAAAAGAAGTGCTTTTAAAAGCCGACATCCTGCCAAGTCCAAAATGTTATAAGAGTATGCCTTATGATAATCAGTATCACAACCGCGACCAAGTAATCCTTCCTAATCGAAAACGCATTTCAGAATTTCAGCCAACATTTCATGAGATAGGTCACGCAACGAACAAATTTCTATAAAAGGCCCTTTCTATGGAATTACTTTATCATAAATTATTGCAAAGTTCAAGCGATTTAAAAGCTGTATCAAATATCTATGTTTTAAAAGCAAAACAGTCGTACTGCTATAATTTTTGCTGATTCAGATTTATATATTTTATTGACTTTTGATTTTAGCAACAACTTAAAGGATATGTTAGTTATGTTTCCGATTATAAAATCGCACTAAAACACACTTCGAAACGGTAAAATCTTGATTTTATCTAAATTGACTTCTTTAAAAATATGAACAAGGGGATGTCAAAAAGGGTTATGCCAACTGTCATATTTTCAAAGCCAAAATCCAGATTACTCGAATTAATTTACTCGACTTACGATAGAAAAAAACGCGATCTGCCCGTGTAACTGGTGAAAATTAACAACAGAGTACTCTAACGGCCTATAATGCATATCTTTTCTGAAAGCCTCTTACGTTTCCACTTATTGTTTGTTCAGTTTAGATGCCGTTAAAACTGCGGTCTTGCAGAAAACTGGGTCGCGTTCTGTCTAAAACTCTCTCTCTAGGCCTTACACTCTTAACACGAAAACCACACCCTGAAGCTGAAATTTTCGAAAAACATAACGTCCCCTGCCTTGACCTTGAGATAAGTATGGAATGCGAGGACATCCCAATCCACCAAAATGTTGCCTTTTTCGCGCATAAAGTTAGTTAGACGCGTCACTCCATGCCTCCAATTAGAGGCACTCTTCCCTGACATTCTGGTTCACATGACATTTTCAAAAAGAGACAAGAAACTCCCCCAAATATACTATTAGCCTTATTCCTTAAAATAGTAGAAGCCCCTGATTAAGCCTCCGGACTGTACAGCAGCGTCGCTTGTGGGTAACCACTGTTATTTCTTCAACGAGCAAAGTAAGCATATCAATAGCAAATAAATAGAGAAAAGTACGTCGATATTTATACTATGCATTAAAAATTTCTTGAGGCATCTCATGGCCACAATGGTTATCTTACCTTATAAAGCAGACTCTAGCGACCTAATTCAGAAGAAAATACGGTTGACGCATCGCAAGGACCTTATATTACCGACTGAAAACTCTTCCTGACTGTGATAAGAACTGCTGTCACGTGCTACGAAGCCCTTTGGTAGGCTGCTGCCTCTGTGCTGAAATTTCATTGGTGCCTTCCGTAATGGCGGCCTTGATGTTTGCAAATCCGTTATAAGCTTTGAAATAAATGTCGGTGTCATATATGTGGCAGTTCTGACAAGCATGGGATCCGTGAATATATACGGCAAGCTAACTCTTAGAAACGCATAAGTGGAAATGTGTTATTCATGAAGTAGTAGCTTCTCCTGTCAGAGTAGAAGTCTGGGAAGATGCGCTTAGGAAACACTGAAAATTTAAGAATTGGACTTTACATTAAACTAGCAAACAGTTCTAAAGGTTGACTGTGAATTTAAAAAAAAATTGCAAGAGTAGAGTTTGAAGAAAAAGATGGGCTTACCGGAACGGGTTTATCTACATGCTGACGTTTTGAAGACCTTGGTCGGCTCCCCATTGTTAAGGTTTAAAGTACACTTAATCGACCAGAAATTTCATGTGACACGTCGCGCTGGTCGGCCTCATGTTGATCCGTTTTCCTCTTCTCTTACTGCCGTGGCCTCTTGGGGGATGGTTGGTGGGTGTTTTATCTGTGTGCTTTGTGAGTCGCCGCTTCGTCGGGGGAGGTGATTGAACCTTCGTCGGCTGGTCGGTCTAACAGTTCTTCCTCGTCGAATAGACTCGTCCTCGGCCTGTCTACGTATGGCTTATTTAGGTCCATTGTGGTTATTTAGCCCTGAACAGACATAATAGCGTAGGACTTTGTAAGCTGCAGGAAGGTCCAGATACCTGTTGATGGAGTTGGCATTGGAGTACCAAGGCTCGAATGTTACCCGTTCTGCTTTTGTATTGTCCAGACCTAAGATGGTAGCTCTCTGGAGATCGGAAGTATGCCTAGCTTCCCCACCGTGCGTTGCTAGTAGAGATTTTGGATCTAGGATCCGAGTGGCCGATTTTCGCTCCTGTAGATAGGTCTACAATTTCCACCCGGTTTATCCAATATAGTTGTAATTACCCCCTCCTGCAATTCATTTGTAGACAACTCATAAGATTTCAGCGAGTGATAGTGTGCCCTAAGGTTGCATCAGACGGCGCCGTAGTGTTGCCTGGGGTCGATGGGCTATGCCTACTCTGGCGGTTTGTAACAATTTAGTCGCTGACTGGGTGACTTCTTTTAACGTAGACACTGGCCCTCCAGAAGTCAGGTTGTTGTTCATTTGGCCGTCGTCTGTACCTTTGGCGCCCGCTTCTCTCAATAAAATGTATGGGATAACCATTGGTTGCAATGTGATTCATCCATTTTATCTTCCGGCGTGCTGCAGTGTGTCCCGAGTTTGTGGAATAGAGTTCGGACGGCAACGTTTGTGAGACAGAGGGTGAGTGCTGTTGAAGTGTAGACTTTGCCTCGCGTCGGTTGAATTTCGACATACCGTGGTTTGTAGCTGTCAATTTTTACAGTGGCACACAAGAACGCCAAGAAAAGGCAGTTGGTAATTTGTTGCTGCTTCCGTCGTGAGCTCAGTGTTGCTTTTTGGTGCTCGCTACCAATTGTTTTGACAACGACGAAGGTGTTATCGACATAGGGTGTCCAGAACGCTAGCTGATACTTGGTGAACGAGGGTAGAGTTGCGCTCGCCAATCGTTTCTATGGAAATCACGCGCTCCGTTGTGTATAAAAATATTAATTCTTTTGCTCATTCGGTAGAAAATTACGTCTTCTTGCAATTTTGTACTCGAAGGAGGGACATAATTGGCTTTTTAAAAAGTCTCTAATTGGGGGACTATTAAATACCGCGAAATGGCCGTTCATAAATCATCATGTCTCTACATTTACCAATGTGGCTTGTAAAGTTAACAATATGGATCAAACCCACTGCTAAATTTTATATATCCTATATGGTCCCCCTTCATTACGATAGAAAAATGTGTGGTTTTCCGTACACTGAAAATATACGGCTTGTGATCGCATCTTCGTCTTCTGAACTGCAAGCTGGAACTCGCCTGTTCGTTTCTATCAAGAATCTATATAGGCAGATGGACGGCGTAGCAATGGGCTCGCCCCTTGGCCCGCTTTTGGAGAATATATTCATGGGAAAGCTAGCAGCTTTCCAGCTACGTCACCAGATCAATGGTTTAAGATACTGTGGACGGTAAGTGGATGATATATTTGCAATTGCACCGAAACAAAGCAACATCTCAATTCTACTTGATAACATAAGTCAGGCGCACCCATAAATAAAATTCACTCTGGAAGAAGAGCAGTCCGGTTTACTTCCTTTTCTGGATGTGCTTCTGAGTAGAAGGCCTGACGGCAGCATTCGACATAGCGTCCATCGTAAGACAACTTGGTCCGGACAATGCACCCATTTTGGGAGTTTCGTACCGCTAAACGTTAAACGTAATTTAGTCCGCTGTTTGACAGAAAGAGTGAGAAGAATCTGCTCAGCTGATGGCATCGAGAAAAATCTTAAGATCATCGAAAGCCTTTTTCGCCAGAACGGGTATCCCGATCGATTCATTGCTAAGAACATGGCCGAAAGTCCACAAAAGCCCCCAATACTGACGGCAGGAAAGAAAATGCAATTCATCAGGGTCCCATTGCATGCAGATGCACCAAGTGAACTTTTAAGAAGACGCCTAACTCAAGCTGTATCACAGACCTTTCCAGCAGCTCCACCAGTCCCATCCTATACGGAGAGGGTAAAGACAAACTACCAGCTCAGACCACCTCCATGTGTATTTATTCCTTCACCTGTTCCTGTGGGGCAGAATATATTGGTCGCATGAGCCGGCGTTTATCCAAAAGAATAAAAATAACATCTCCCAGCATGGCTAGGAAAGGGTCAAATAAAGAATATCAACAGCCCGAGCCTCGCACGCATGGCAGACACAGACCACCGTGTAGATGCCAGAGAGGCCTTCATAGTGATTTGCAAGGTCCCGTTAAGCTATCTAAAACTCCTTGGGCAGTGCTTGTTGGCTACGGCAGAGGCAGCTGCAATCAGGCTACGCGGACTGGTCCTATGCGCGCAGAAGAATTACATACTGGTCCCAAAGTTGCCATGGGTTAAAGCCACCAAGCCAGCCACCGGCATGTAATTACCTTCACCGGGACACACCTTCTCCCTGACGCTGACTGGAATTGTGGTGTTTCACTCCCCCCCCCCTCCGCTCCCCACACCCGAGCTACAGCTTAATTGTCTACTTGTCCGTATCTTTTAGTTCATTACTTAAATACCCATATAAATGCACAGGCCTGAAGAGAATTTACCGAAAGCAGACGTATGTTCGCCAAATTGCCTCTTAAAACTTCTAGGTACACAAAACGCTTGGATCGAGCCATAGCAATTATTTTGCACGGACAGATTCAGAATCGACCACTGACTGGCAGTTGCAGAAGGTGTTAACACACGCATTTTGGCAGACATAGTGTAATTTCATTTTGGAGACAGGCGTGTATAAAGAAAACTGAACTCTTTACCAATCACTAGCGCACCACTGAGAGCATTACCAGTTTTTTCGCATAAACTGGCAACATTTTCTTATCTCCTAAACACCCATAGATCCCTATGACAACCCTTTGAAAATAGGTTTCAGAAATGCGAATTGAACTGCAGCCTTGAGCTCGAAACAAGGGGGCGTAAAAATGCACACGACACGTGAAAGTCTCGGAAACAACATCATTCTAGTTGCCCAAACACCAGAAACTGACGGTGCTGCGGTAGTCTAAAATGCCTGTTGTTTCGGACTTACCGCGTTAAAATTGCACCAATGACTCCCAGAACGCAAAACCAGCCCATGCATAGCACAAGATTCCATTTCCTAGCCGCACAGGTTAGGGGTTAGGAGATAGGTTTAGGAGTTAATGCTAGGGGTTAGGGTTAGTTTGGGGCATGTCTACTTCAGGTACGGTTACGAAACAAGGTCCGACCTAGATGTACTATCAAATGGCTCGTAAGTACTCAAAACGAAGTTCATTATTACTCCATTAGCAGATGTTTTATTTTGCTGCAGATTGACAATTTGTCCAAGCAGTATTGGACGCACAGTAACCCCCCCCCAAGATTTCGAGAAACGAATAGGCCCCGCATGGGTGACAAAGGTCCCAAACAGGCGACCAGCTGTCTGGCCAAAATAATTTAAGTTATAATGGTATAGCGGTTGAAGACAGAGGACAAGGGTAGAGTGTTTCATTTGTTATTTAGCCAATCACAACCTTGGCCACCATCTGGGACAAGAAAAGCAAACATGCACAGCGTATGGGGTCTATCAAACATGCTCTAAGTACGGTTAGTGACCTAACTCATGAAAGGTGTCGAAATTGACGAATCATTGCTACTCACTCGCAAGCCATCCCCAATGCATGGATCCAATATCTATGCTAATTAAGTGAATTTAAAGAAGAATTAAGAACACAAAAAACAGTAAAGGCAGTGTGGCGTTTCTTCGAAATGCCAATTGCTCTAGAAAAGCGAAAAATCCCAAAAGAGTCGGATTTGGTTTTAGTTGAGCAAACTTCTTCTTAGGTGTACAAAATCTCCTCCAATGCAAAAACTGAGTAAACATGGATACACGAATAAAATTTCTTTAAAAATGATGTTTTAATTAAGTTTCCATCGGTATATTCTTTGGGAATTGGTATAACTTCAGGTATTGCGGTTTGCCAACAGTCTACAGTCTGAGTATAGATTCCAAAACAGTTTTTCGGGGATTCATGGTATTCTCAAGTCGTTTGAGTTAACTGAGATGCGGTTCAACATGAGAAACAGGATTATGCTGGATTTTACCGACGTGGACGTCGTTGGAGAAAACGTTTTTACAAAGTCACACGCTACCAGGCCGATCTGTGACTAATAAATTTTAACAGAATTGACAGACGTAATCGTAAATATACCATTTTTGTGTTTATAAGAGAAATTTTCTTCCGTTAAATTAATTTGCATTTTCGTTTGTTTTGGAATACTTTGAGTGTGATATCGACCCTGAAGTATCGCTTAATACTCCATGATTTTCCGTGTTTCCCGCTGATCGACCATTAAGACAGGTTCTCTATCATTTACTGGTTAGAAAATTTAAAATAAGATACTTATTGTGGCCATTTACCGAGGTAGTGAGTGTTTGGGAGTTCTCTTTCATGTAGAAGATCGTTTGGGTCACATTTAAAAACTCACTTAAGCATGGAAATTCATTGTTGAATAAAACTGCTGTCCACAACGAAATCCAGCAACAAATAGGCCTTCGATTATCAGGAAAACTTTCCCTAATAAGTTACTTCTTTAAAGATCTCTGTGTACTTTGCATTTTTGTACAAAGGCCAAACAAATTTGACACTTTTGTCCGTATCTTTTACGCCCCTAAACAATACAAATATTTTTTAACTGAAAACGCAATGACATGCCTTTGTCTTTTTATTGCGACATTTGTACTGTTTTGTTCGTTTTTAGACTCCCTTCTACGATTATGAATGCACGGCAAAGTGCCCTACTAATATTTTGCTGAAACAGGTAAGATTTTGCTTGTTCCATTTGTGAATTAGGAATGTGCAGAAGCTAAACTGCACGACAAGTAATGTTTCATCTGTTCAAAACTGGAAATAATTATTCGCTGGTGGTAATTTCCGTGACCACATTGAAACGTTTCCAAACGGCAAGGCGATTTCAATACATTTAAACGTAGGATTGCTTGTGTACGTTAGTACGGCACTTCAGGACATACAATCACGCCAATCTGCTAATGTGACTTCTAAAAATCGATAAAACATCTGGTTAGCATCTGGCCTGGCCAGCTCTGTCCGGTAAAACTCTCAAGAGATCACTACTCCTCTTTCCATGGAAAATACGCTCAGATAAGCAACCCATGTCTATAACAAGTATTAGCAAAGGCAGATTGCTTGATTATATCGCGACGTTCACTTTCCTTCAAATTTATGAAAATTTTGCTTTATAAAATAACCTGGACACAATCTTTGCACAAGAAAATGACATTTCCTTATGAGAGCTGAATCAGCAAGTCAAATGTGCATCATGTAAGAAATCCAGAAATTCTCACATCAGTTGCCGTTGTAAGGTTTCATGAGATAATTCACGTACTGTACTTCATCAAAACTAAGTTCATCAGTGTTCTGCCACCTACTGCTCTCTGTTGTTGCCGATCGGCTATGCAAACCGATCCACTGGTTTTCCGAAATCACCAAACTCATAATGCCGTACAAGCAATCATGAACAGATAACAGCATACGCAACAAACATTCAAACTCTATTTTTACCTGTTAAATTAATTTGAAACAGCTAGGGACGTTTACAATGGAGTAATTAAATTAAGGCTTAACCGCAATGGTTGACGAATATGTTGCGGGATTTATCCGAAAGGCACCTCGGCATCAATGCCTCTGGCTCATTTGCCACAGGTCACATTTTGCAGTGCGCGATCAACCCGCAGGAGGTAATCTCGCCTGATAGAAAGTGGTAGTTATCTACAAGATGCATCCAAAAACCAAAGCAAGTGGGTTGAGGTAATGTAGTCCAATCCATTACTTAAACGAAATTGAGACATTCAAATTACGAGCATTGAAGTTGAGGTTAAAAGAGAGTTTAAGGACCAGTGACTTGAAAATAGGGCGCGGTCTTCAGCTTCCAGTTTAAACAAACATCGTGGTGCTGGCTTATGTGGTCTAACGCCATTCTCCTCATCATAACCGGCCTGGGCTGACTATGTTCTAGTCAATGCAATTAGGCAACCCAGGGATTAAACTAGCCCACGTAGACCTCGTGCCTGTTGTAGGCCGTAAATTATCCTCCGCCTAGATCACACTGATTAAACAATAAAAATTTAATAACGGCAGCGAGGAGAGACCAGAGTAACAGACACCTTAGCCACGGAGCTGCCTGGATCCGCTGTTCTACTTTTCAACGGTTGCTTTAATTGCAGGAGCAGCAGTTTAACAGTTGGTGTCAACGGTTACAGAAGTCGCTTACGCAATAACCGTTACTGCTTAGCTACTCGTGTGTCTTTATAGTGGAAGAGATTATAAGACGAAGCGAAAATTGATATTTATCGGCACACAAACCTATGCTGCTCTCTCAAGTACCTATCAAGAGTTAAACCGACTGTTTACTCACGTCGGCTGGGTTTAGGAATTCGGCGAAAATCCAAGCGAGCTGGCCATTCGCACGCACAAGACATTAGTCGCTGACTGACCGGTCGGGTCGTTTTATCACCGAGCTGCATGTGAGTAGCTTATCTGACAGTTTCTTCGAGCGTGTCGTGCCAGTCGAAAAATTTTCCAGCATGTGACCATGCATTTGCTAGAAGAATGCCATTACATACCCACGTAATATCCTCTGACAGTTTTTTTTCGGTTGACATGAGAGGGTGCAGAAGCTTTCATTATTTGTCTTAAAGCACATGCCGGAGTGTCTGTTACATTTAATTCGTTTGACGGTTTTGAAGGTAGCGCTTTGATGCAATTTTACCTGCTCAATTAACGCACACAACGGGCCTTGAAATCTTCATGCATGCCCCACAGATGGTAACAACTTCGGCAAAAATCTTGCACGTGTATCCATTAGTACTGACAGATCGAAGCAATGCTGCGTCAGAAGGCAGCAAATTCGACCGATTAAAAGCTCATTTTATCAGCTGTCGTAAAAGTGCGCAAAATTATTTGCTGCCGGCCGGTTGAGACAAAAATTCGGAAATTCACAAAAAGTCCATCTCTGGATGTTGTTGTCCTTGCGCATCGTTAGCCACTCCTTTACCATGTTGGGCATACGACGACGACAAGAAAAAACCCCGACAGGACACAAAACTTTTGAGGAAGCAAGTATTGCAAAAAGTGGACTTGAACGGTCTCGGCATTTTATTGGTTAGTTGTGAGGTCTGCACGGCCATTCCTTCGTAATCCGAAAGACAGAGACATGGACAAGCACCGCACATCCAGCTGACTGAATAGCAAATAGCGGAGAGGTGTTTTCGTTAACGAAAATGAAACCGGTCAAGAGAGGTCCCGGTATCGCGAAGAAGGCACGTGACGGCAAGTTCACGGCATAGTTGATCAATGAGCGATGTTAGTGAGTGTTGCAATACATGAATAAAAATGCTGTTATTCTGGTTTCCTGGTTAGTTCTTCTAAACACCAATTTCCATGTTTTAAACCTTTGTTTGCAATGCGAGTAGCCCCAAGGGCTAGACACTACACTTCCTGGTCCCCCTTATAGAAAATTCGTAATATAGGACCTACGGCCACCTCTAACTACTCAGACTGAAAAATGTTTATTTAGAAAAATTAACCAATCAGCGGCAACGGTTAGGTATGTCCGTGAGGTAAGGGAAGAATCTGGAGAACTGCCAAGAGTACTTTTAAAAAGTGTTGTTCGGTAGAGTTCTTGGTCGGTCCTTCGTTAGCAGGATGACATTAGCTGACCTGTACGGCACTGAGGAGTCGGCGATATCGAAATGTTTAGGTTGACCTTTTTCCTGCACCCCTCACGCGTAATTCTGCGACAAATGGAAAGTTCGTTTTTTTTAAAAAACGTTCGTCACGAAGAGCAGTCAGGTTGTAAAAAATACTCAAACTATTAGTAAATGAAATGAATACCTTTAGCGGTGAAGCAGGAGCGTTAAAACATTAGTGAATTTGTTTAAAAAAACAGTTAGCAACTGTATGCCCCGCGCATATACTTTATCTTTGTCGTACCGGAATTTGCTTTTGGACAGATTAGCGGAATAAAGTCTCGTATTTTTGAAATCTTGTCAAGTAAAATTGGCGGGGCCACGGGAATACGGATGTTCTATATTATAGGTGGATTTTTTTTTACTAAATTTCCGTAAGACACTTATGCCCGCACGTAGCCTTCTGATCATAAGCTTTACCACATTGTCTGCCTCTTGGATGAGTTAAATTAACTAATCGGCACGAGAACAATCGTCCTGATCCATCGAAAATTTTTTATAATACATTGTTCGGCAGTGTAAAATAACCTTCACGGTAATATTTTGTCTCCTGACGCCACAAGTCCTTTTAGAACAGATATAAACAACAAAATGCATTGGGTGCATAAATCTAAGGACTGAGATTTACCAGGACAACTTAAGGTTGACGACGTGGTTTAACTGTTTGCATAGGTCGAGATTCGTCTGTCGTATGTGAGCACCTTTTAAATAGCGCAATCCCCGAGTCGTTCGCGTCGGCATGAGCTGTCGGAAGCATATTTTGGGGTCGACGGAATGACCAATAACTAGAAGTTTTTTTATGATCGGCGGACGAGGCATTTTATCTCCTTTTTTAAAAGCCACTTAAGCAGCTGTTCAACTGATTTTGAGTTTAGACACTTCCCACAAGTAAACTGGATTAGGCTGGATTATTTACTAACTCAGTCCTCATGTAAAAAGCTTTCATTACTTTAATTTTTTAAAATGTCTCCATATACGCCTACCGCATTTATTGACCTGACTCTTACACTGGCCTCCGTAGACTTGCATTTCTTGCTGATAGAAGCGGACGGGCGAGTTCCAGGTGGCAGTTTATAAGACGAAGATTAGATCACTGGAACAAGAAATTTATTGGCCTGACCGGATCTGGTGTGGTTGCGGACAAAGCAACTATGTCGGAGAAACTGGGAGATTACTCCGTTCTCAAATTGCCGATCACGCAGCCGCAGTGGAGCGGGAAAACGCTTGCTCTCTGGTGGCGGCACAATCGACGGCACCCGGCCATATTTTCAAGATTTCAGAGGCTGAAATCCTCGCAAAGGTTGAAAAATCGCGTGAGCCGCGAGCTGCTCGAGTCATAATTCCCTGGCACGCAATCCATCAACAAGCGCAATGACCTCCCGGTACCTTATTGTGTGCTGAGATTTTCCCTGAGCAGGGAAATCAGTCACGCGGGGAGGGCGCGGGCGAGCAATTATCCCAGTGACAGGGAGCCAATTTGCCGAGCAATCGTCACACCAGCATCCAGCACGGATGACGAAATCACAGCCACTAACGACTCGGACGCGGACTGACAAGTCACCATCGCATCAATTATGACCTCAGCGGTGATTGCGAGAGCTGTTAATTACAGTGCGCATATTGTCCCACAGCAGCCACGTGCTATAAATACTGCACTCCTTGTGCCACCATTACTCTTATCTGCGACTGTCTCGGATGATGTGTTCGAGTGTGGATCCGAACCGTCAGGCCAATAAACTTCTTATTCCGGTGATCACACCTTCGTCTTCTTTGGGCAATTCTTCTCGGCAAGGTGACAGACTCTTGGGATTTCACGCTGCCTTCACCTCAGAAGGGAACGGGACACTGATTACGTCACACTGGCCTTATGTTAAAACCACTGTTTCAACTGCTGTGGTTACCATGGCAGAAATGCAAAAAGGCAAACTCCTCCCTATCCCTTCTTTGGTAAGCCAGATGTCAGCGATAGCCGGGGTAGTGGTGCGTGTGAAGGCTTTATCAATTCCGTTGCCATAGTGAGGACGACTAATTTGGCGACGTGCGTATTAATTGCGTCATTCGGATACGACGACGACAGTGCCTTACGAGTAGAAACCTTCAAAATGTGGACTGTAACTTTTGCGTACGCTCTTAGTAAGAAACCGGCTCATAAGCGAGGCCAGGATGAGTATTAGCATATTAGATGATTTTCTTAAGGGTTTTAAGCTCATTCCTTGCTAACCATCATTACACCCACCTTATCCAGACATATTCATAATAAACTAATTAAGTAGTGATTGTCTTCCACCGGAAAAACACACAGGATGCCATTTCTTACAACTAGTCTGTCGGAAAGTATACCTTATGAAGAGATTTGTTTCAGTTTTTAAACAGTTCACTGATAGGGTGACTCTTCAGTCCTTTAAACGTTTATACACTTATACGTTTTCGACTCTCCACGAGATAGGGGAGGCATCGCCAGGATGACCTAGAGTAGTGTAATTTTGCTATAGGAGAAGGAGCAGCCTTTAGCCCAGCATATGGGATCATCAAGGGACGCAGACAATTAGATAAAAACGCAATTTTCGCTTGACAAACTGTTAAGTTGCTTGCGTGCGCCATGCAGATCCACAAAGAAGGAGTCAAATTTTAAAACATCGTGCCAACGCATGTGTTTCTTATTTAAAAAGACTGATAAGAAACGCTGCCATAACTGTTTTTACTTGTACGCTTATGTGCGCGACCTACTACCGGCTTCTCAAGCTCTGCGCCACTATGTTCACGGGGACCAAGGCAGGATGACTGCAGTGGATTTCGTAATTGCGGCACCTAGGTCAGAAGGAGGGGACTTCACAACTTTTCCCACACCCACGTGGGAGCCGATGAATCAGCAGTTGGAACGCACCTTGGATCCGAATGAGTTGTCTGAGTGAACTGAAGTCACTTCTGCGGGAACTCAGGAGGGGCGAGGTGTTACCGTGTGTCGGTGAAGACTGTCGGTGCCGCTGCCCTCGCAAACATTGAATCACGCTCTACTCCCCGCCAATGCTCCGAACAACGTTCTCTTTTCGCATTCAGCGTCAGCAATCTCCAGGTGCCTCCCTTCCAGCTGCCCTAGTGTTGGACTCCCAACCGGTAAGCTAATGGACTCATCGGGACCAACTTCCGCACCAGACGGATCAATAGTATATGCAGCTCTATTTTCTATAGTAGCAATAGGATAGAATGATTCAATCTACCTAATCTGAGAAATGCGTAGGGCATACAGGATCAGAGTAGCTGACGTTTTGGAGGGCTTGACGGACTCCACATTTTCAAAGCGTTTTGTGCAAAAAATAGAACAGAATTTTAAACAAACGACCCAATTGGTTGTCCTTTGTTGCCTTGGCCTTCTGGCCATTATATGTGAATGTAGGCGGCCACCTGCTTTGTTTATCGCCACAGCAAATGGAGTCGGTCGCATCTGAGCATTTCGTTCGGGAGAATTAGTCGACAGATCATATTTGCTCTTGTGACTGTATTGTCCTGGTCATGGAGTACATAGTGACGTATAACTCTATAGACCGCAAAAGGGTCTAGATACCTGTTGGTGGAATTGGCATGCCCCAAGTGTATGGCGTTCTGTTCTTTTAAATGTCCTGGCTTTAAATAGTTCCTCCATGAAAGCCAAAACTGTGATCAGTGTCTGCTATACGCGTTGCAAACTGTAAGTTCGGGTCTACTCTCCGAGTTGCCAGTTTGTGTTCGTGTAGGCGGGTCTGAAATTTCCGTCCGAATTCCCCAACGTACTTGCAGACTCCATCGTTGCGATGCATTTGGTAGACGACTGCTGAGGTTTCAGTAGGTGGCAGTGTGTCCTTCGGTTGCACCAAACGACGACAAATTGTTGTATGGGGTCAATGAGTAATTCTTACCCTGGTGGGTTGTAACTGTCTTGAAATTGCTTCGTGGACTCCTTTAATGTAAGGAATAGTCCTCCAGACTACGGGTTGCTGTTCTTGTTATCATCGTCTTTTCACTCGGCGCTTGCTTTGCTTGATAAAATGACTTGGATATTCATTTTTCCGAATGGGCTTATGAAGTTATTGCTCTTCTGTCAGCTGATGTGCTAGAATAGTGTCCGGACACAGCTGCGTTTGCGATAAAGAGGATAATTTCTGTTAAAGTGTATTACTTGCCTTATAAACGGTAGTTTGCATTTACCTTGTTGCACACCGACGCACTTGGACATCGAGGAAGGGGAGGTTGTCGTTGGTGTCAGCTTCCATCGTAAATTGGATATTCGGGTCATCCGAGTTCAGTGGTTCTTCAAGATGCTCTACATCAGAGGATTTTAAAATGACAAAAGTGTCATCGCCGCAATTAGATACTTCAGTAATTGTTAATATTTTCGGCTGCAGCCGATAGAACAGCAAGCCCGTGGTCCATTTGGTAAGGCGCTGGATTAGCAATGCCCAGTGAACGTGGAGACCGCAATCGAGGTTGGCTGACGACTGATTATAAGCCAGAAACGGCCATTCCAGTTTGCCTTGTCCTTTGTCGTTAACCTCCTCCAAATTGCTCTGGGATCCAATAGGTCCAATTTATACCTCGGATAGTATTTATATTCTCCTCTTCCCTTCGGATGTTTCCTACGACACGCGGGGTGTTGATAGTTATCGGACATATCACATTATGCCCTTCAGTCAAGTTACTTACTTCTATTCCACTGGGGTGGAGTAGCATGCATTTTTCCCATCGATTTTCGATGCCCTTAAAGATTCAATTATATTTCATGGAAAACATGCATAGATAAATGGTCGTTTTTTACAGAGTTTGGTTTTTGCATGCAGACGCAAGGAAGTTTGTTCAACATGGTATCCTGAAGTAACTGAATCATTATAGAATTATGTTGCACGATGATTAGATTTACAGCCCCACTTAATTAATCTTTTCGAAGCGAAGACGCATTTCGGAATTTCGGTTGACATTTCATGAGGTAGCTCACCTTATGTAGTTCTAATTACAACTTCTCTGTGAGATCGACACAAACGCTTAGACCCACCAATAAACCGAACATGTACGCGAGAGATAATTTTACATTTTGCCTCTCAGTAAATCTTACGTAATTCATTTGGATGGTGCGAGCAGTTTTTCGGGTTTAACCTCGGTTAGAAGAGCACATTTTTCTCTTTAACGGAAGACAGTATGACTATTTGCCTGGCCATTAAATTCTTCCAAATAAAACCGTGCGATACACCCGCATGTTACTCTCGTGTAGAGTGTATGTCTTAATTGCATTCTACTAGCAGCTGGCAGCCATTTGACGTTCAAAATGTATGTGTCGGGGCACTCGTTAGGCAACCCTTGATTTGCTTCTCATAAAGAAAGTTGCGAATCTTATTTTGAAAAACATTCTATACTATTAGTTTCCAAAAGTCTGAAACATGCTTAACGTTTTTCCATCAAAACAGGTATATTTAATAAAAGTCTACAGAAATTAATGATTATTTCTGCGAAAATTCCCGTATTACTATCAGCGAGTCAGTTGACGAATATATGTTTTCGGTGACTCATCATCGGGCCGATACATTTACATGGGTAATGGTTATTCTAATTGTAGACAGGATATAAGTGCGTCTCAGGGGCAGGGTTAATCGGGTTCCATGTTCTCGCGCCGCCCACATGACGGAGTCAGCGTGTTGAGGACGGTGGAGTTGGGGTGGGAGGGGGGGAGGTGGAAGAAGAGGGGTTCCGGCTAGATTGTAAGCGCTGTAAGTGCGTGTAACTGCTCTCAGGGCGTCGGGACGGCGTGCGATCACCGCCTGGAGTCGGCCAGGGCAGATAGACTGCTTTTGTTAGCATCTTCTGACAACAGAGTACTGGGTTCGCTAGTCAGATGGCCACTGCTTCAGCTGTGGCTAGCACCTGTTTGCGCAGGCCTTTAGAGTAGTGTGTCGATGCCCAGTAGATAACTTTAAAGACTTCTTTAGCGTCAGCTTGGTGGTTCGTATCGATCAGATGTGCGAGAATCGAACTCGAAATCGATCGGTTTTCACCTCTACCTAGTCAGGGAGGAAGGTGTTCGCGTATCTCTTTTCCAGACGCCTCGTTGTGCGGCCAGTGTACCCCGTTCTACAAGAGCAGGTGAATGAATAAATGAACATGGATGTGGCCTGCAACGGCAGCCGATCTTTGCCCTCCAACCGTAGTAGGGGGGAGTTTGCGAAGAATACGCGCAAGTTCGCCGGGGTGAAGACACTCGCGAGAGCTGTCTTAAGACGTCGTCTCACTAACTCGTTTGCTGCGTCTCCTAGAAAAAGCAGTCTTAGAAATGAGCCTTTCTTTTCGGCAGTTGCAACGGCGGGTTTTGTGGCACGCTCTCTAATATTCCGGAGAAGGAATCTCTCATTGCTATTGACAGGATAGAAAATAACTTCAGAGCTACACAGAAAATGTTTCTGTAATGCTAGCATTTTGGCGCAACACATCGTGGTTAATTTCCACGAAGGGGTATAGCGGAATTTTGCGGCAACAGTAGAATCCAATTAATTTGATGTGTTTCGTCAAGATGCGCCTCGGAGAAGGCCGTAGAAACGGGCCATGACCGTTCCCTGGAATCAGCTTCAGCTTCAAGAGCGCTAACCTGCTGCTGGGTAGACGCCAGTTATGCATTTCGAGTTATCCGCAAGATAGCAGCGAGATGCTCTAAGTGGGTAGTAGCGACGGTAGATGTGATAGCTGTGCAGTCAGCTACATTGGTTTGCTCATACACTTCAACTAACATGGTCCAATCTGGTCTTCACGCACTTCTATCTGCGTTGCGTTATCACAAAAAGAAACCGAAATGCACTCCAATGGTATATCATTCTCCTTTCCCAGACTTCAAAAGGGGACCATAATTTCGCCTTCTTCCCTCTTTGTCATGTCTGGACACTCCCCGTCGTTCCTGGCTGTTGCCGAAAATCAACGTATATTATTGCAAATAATTGGTGATGAATAACAGACAGTGTGCGTTTGCCGAGTTGGACTGTTCCGTTTCATGTAAGGCATCAGCACAGAATTTAGACAATAAAGAATAAACAAAAAAAGCTTGTAGACAAGCTAAGCGGAGATCGTATAAGCAGAGAAAATGCAGGCCAGGGACTACTGCAATGCTGGACGGACGCCAATATGAGTTTTGTCGGTAAGATAATTAAGAGAATCTGCGGATGGCATTGAAAAACTCGCACGAGGGTCTGGAACAGACCGCGAAGTCCAAAAAAAACAGAATAGGGACGTGCAAACGGGCGGAAAACAGACAGTCGAAGATTATTGGTTAATAAAGACCAGATTGGATAGGACGATAGGCGGCAGGCCAACGTAACACCAAACCTAGCCTCAAACCTAGACTTTTCACTAACCTCAATCTCTAACCTATCTTAGACGTTAAATTGAACCTTAACCCTAGCCTCTAATTACTCTAAGTTCAGCCTAAACATAACTCTTATATAATATGCCTACTCAAATAAAATAAGTAGGCCTTCGAAACCAGATAAATAACCAAGTCTATGTTTGACATGAAAAGCTAAACGTTGGCGTAATAGGTGTGACGTGTACATTTTGGTGTATTTATCCAACAAACCTGCACGTTTGCCTGGGTCAGAAAACAAACGCCTCACTCCTAGAATTCTGCATGCCTGGCCGTAACAACCTGGCCGACTTGCTTCGGCAGAAATAACGTTCAAATCGGCTATATATTTTTGCTTAAATACGCCTGGGTTGTGTAGATAAAAATACAGTTAACTATTTGCCACCCAACAGACAGGTCTTGAATGCATTGGCCTAGGTCGAGGCACCATTTTTTCCTTATCCTATTCTAAAATCCAGATGCGTTTTTTCACTTTTGCTTTAACAACGGCGCAGTTGATTTTAACACGTCACACTGTCAGACATCACAAAGATTAGATTTGTCATCGCTGCGAACCGTTCTCTTGCAGCCCTCACTCAGAACTTTCACAATCAGCAACCTTTGACTCAAGGCTATGCGAACCTGCTCAGAGTCTAATTGAAGACAACTTGACATGCGTCTTGTCAAGCAAAGTCAGCTGATCTTGACAGCGCCTTCAAGAATGTCAGTCGAAATTGCAGTTGACAGACACATGCCACTGGTTCAGTGAAGGATTTTTTGCGCGTACTTCGATCAGAGGTGACTTGTTACATGCCCGTGTCTTGAACAAATATTGGACAGATCACGGCCCCCACGCTCTTATGAAGTTCTGATATTGCCCGTACCATCCCGGTAAGTTTTTGTCGGATGAAAAGTTTTCGTTTAAATGGTACCCAAAAAGAGAGAAAAAAGCCAGTTCATGATTGCACTGTGCAAAACTTAGAGCATCTAAACTGCTGGATGGTCGGAAAGAGTTCAGCAGCCCTGATCAAGGTAACAAACCTTTTTTGATGAGAAAAGTTATGTTGCAGGTCGAAAAAAACAAAGATTTCGGTCTACGACCATCATCCGGGTAGGATCAAATGCCTGGTGCATGGTACACCTCAGTCCATCTTGGTAATCACTTTTGATGTAAAACTTCACTTTTTGGAATCATTGACTATCTTAATCTTAAACCAAAGTAAATTCGGTTGTTGAATATAGAAGGCCTATAATGGACCAATATAAGATGAACAGCAGTATGCCACTTCGTAAAATCTAATTGTTCAAAATCATTTGTCTGCAAACGCCTATGTATACACACCTTTTTTTGTTTTCTTTCCCGCTGGTATCTGCTCTTGTTGTAGTCATCCGTGCTTTTCCGCCTTGCCGATCTCATTCCTCCATCTGCTCATCTTCTGCTTCCTTGCCGTCTGCGGCAACTTTGAACTCCTTTTATATTACACGCAGTGGAAGTGTGTCAAAAATTTGTGAAGGTGGTAACATCAAATAACTGCGCAGGAAATTAAGAAGAAGAAGCTGCAATCGCTGGAACAAGAAATTCATTGGCCTAGCGTTTCGGATTATCACTCAAACGCATCATAAGAGACAGTCGCAGATAAAGGTAATAATGACACAAGGAGTGCAGTTAATATAACACGTAGCTGCCGAGGGACGACATGAGTACTGTAATTAACAGGTCCCGCGATCACCGTTGAGAGGTCGTAAATGAGGCGGTGATGGCTCGTGGATCCGCGTCCCAGTCATTAATCGCCGCGATTTCATCATCCTTGTTGGATGTTGACGTGATGAATACTCAAAAATACGGTCTGCTGTCACCGGCATTGCTGCCCGTTCGTGCCCTCCCCACGTGACTGATTC